CACTGAGCTAAATCCCCGGCCCAATCCCCAGTGTTTTTAAACAAAAAGGGGAAGGGGGAAGATTAGATTAAATCCTGCCTGTTCACTCCTTTGTAGTAAAATTATGGATCTGTGTCCTTGACTAACAGCATAGTCATGTGACTTGCTTTGACCAATGGGATGTCTGTGGGTGTGCAGGTGTGACATGTACTTTGCTTAATGAGCCTGCACGCTTGTACTGTGCAAATGGCCTGTGATAGGGCTTGGAGTGTGGCTCAGTGGTAGAGCACTTGCCTAGCATGCATGAGCACCTGGGTTCAATCTCTAGTACTGAAAATAAAAGCATCCCATGAAAGAAGTGTTCTGCTGGTCCAAGGAAGATGAGAGACATGGAGCAAACCTGGACCCAATTTATAGCTCAGAGTCAAGCCCAGCTAACTTCAGCCTCCAACTGCTGAACCCCAACAGAACCAAAGAGATGTGAGCAAAAACATAATGTTTACTGTTGAGTGCTACTAGGATCACAGGGATACTTGTTATACAGCCTAACTGACTGATAATTGGAATCCAAATGAAGTCACTAGTCAGTATTATAGTTGATAGAAGCATCCTAGTCAGTTCAGGCAGAAAACAGAATTTGCTGGGATACTGATTAGCACAGAAGAGCCTGTGTAGGAAAACACTGCTGGACCCTCCTTGTTCTTTGTTTATTTGGTTGGTTGGTTTTTTGAGACAGGGTCTCTTCTGCCTCAACCTCCAGTGTGTTGGGATTACAGACATATGCCACTATATCCGGGTGACTCTCACTGTTTGACCTTGCCATAGTCTCTGGAAACAATCCTAAATTATCTTTTTGTTCAGTGCTGAGGATTGTACACAGGCCTCATGCTAATCACACACTCTACCACTGAGCTCCACCCCAACTTCTAAATTATTCTTGACCTAGCATCTTAGCACCAGGATTTGAAGACCCAGATGGAAGCATTTCATGGTCACTTTGGCCACATGCCTGCAAGTTAGTAGAGGACAAGGAGGAGGAGGAGTCTTGCTCACTGTGACTGTTATGTTTAATTGTCCATTTCACTGGGTTAAGAGACTCCAGGAGAGGTGGTTCAACCACAGGAGCGCTGTCCTCATTTGTGGATTAATCCACTGATGTTCACAGCTGAGTGTGCTGTCAGGAGGTGGGGGCCAGTTGGAGGAGGTGGGTCACTCAGGCTTGCCTTGGAGGGTGTTTTTTATGGGTGCTCTTCGCCTGGGCTCTGCTTCCTGGTTGTCATGAAGTGAGCAGGTTTGCTCCACCATGCCCTTCTGCTATGATGCTTCTGCCTTGGAGCCAACTGACCATGGACTAAACCCTCTGAAACTTTCATCCAAGATAAAGTTCTCTTTTCAGTTCCAGGTGTCAGGTCTTTGGTCCCAGCAACAGGAAAGCTGGTCAATTTCCATCCTGTCTTAAAATTCCTCCAAAGTAGAGAGGATAAAGGGACCAAGTGGCCCAAAGGACAAATGTCCACCACTGGCAGGAACCCAGCAAGGGGCGGAAGACAGGCCCGCAGGGACAAGACACCTGTTCTGTGCACTCAGTATGGCTGCCAATGGTCTCCAGGTTCCTTGGGGCCCGACTTTGGGCACCTGTGGGGAGACTGGCCTCTCTTTCTTAGCTCCACTTCTGATATCTGAAGCTGGACAGAAGCTCTCGAGAAGTTCCCACTGGTCCCAGGTACCTCACTGTGCAGAGGGAGGAAGAAATGGTCCCAGGGCTGAGGAGGAAGAGGAGGAGGAGGAGGAGGAGGAGGAAGAGAAAGAGAAAGAAGAGGTGCCAGACAAGTAATAGGCTGCCATCTGTGGCCATCTGGAATCTGGCAGCTGTGGGTTCAATCTTCCTCTGACATTTACTAACTTGGTGTCTCTAGGTAGTTGTCTAAGTCCCAGCTAAGTCAACTGTGAACTGAAAGCCAGCCATGCAGTGGCCCCCATGAGACCACGGGGATTGCTGAAGGTGGCACTGGAGAAGGCCCACAATGGAGAGGAAGGGAGAGGGTCACCCTTAGGAGCCTCAGGCTGGGGAGGTGACAGAGGGATAAACCCCCACACCCAGCTCGGTTTGCCTCTGCCCTCTGCTGGCGCCCCGCCAGCTGAGCTCAACAGAAGTCAGTGCCGCTGACAGGCCACATGGCTGGGCCGGCCTTCTCACCCCGAGGGGTAGAGGGAGAGATGGATGGATGATAGGGGAGGGCTGGAGCCAAGTCACCGAGCACCCCAGGGGACACCTGGGGCATCTCATCCCCTGTCCCCTCACCGCTCACCTCGCCAGTCACCCAGCTCAGAGCTGTCCCAGCTTCTCCATGCAGGAGTGCAGTGGTCTCCACCAGGCCCGGTCCCAGCTCCCCTGGAGCAATGGTCCCCAACAGGCTCCCCTCTCTGTCTCCCTCCCAGCCCCTGCACCCCCAGCTGCAGGCTAGGGGCTTTTGCCCAGGTCTCGCTTGCAGCCCACAGTCACAGAGGCGGGGTAGACCCCTCTGCATGGCCCTGGGACCCCACCTCCCACTGCTGCCCCCTGTAGCCTGAGTCTTCCATGGGTGTCTGCATCTCGGTCCCTGACTTCCAGAGCGCTGTGCCCGAGGGGGCAGGCACCTCTGAGCAGGATGGAAAGGGTATGTTGGCCCAGCTTGGCCACTCATCCACTTGTTCATTCATTCATTCTTCATTCAACAAAGCTTCTCCTTGCCCAGTGCTGCCCTGAGGGCTTGTAGACTCAGCTTGGGAAGCCGCCCACACCCAGACTTCACCTGGGCTGCGGGGTTATTGCAAGGATCAAACTGGTTATCAGGAAGGGAGAGCTATGGGAAGATGCAGTGCAGTTATTCTCTCCTAGGACCTATTCTAGTGCTTCCCTCCTCGGTGGCCCCCGGTGCAAGCATGTTTACATGCTGACCCTAAGCCCTGAGGGCAAGATCACTTGTTATTTTCCTCTCCCTGTTTCTGAGAAGAAACTGGCACGTGGTAGTGGGCCGGATCGAAGGAGCCCCAGCCGGCTCAGCAGGACCCCCATGGTGGATGCTTCTCCCTGGGGCCCCAGGACCCTGATGAGAGTCTGCAAGGGAGCAGTGCTTAAAATAGGGAGATATGCCTCATCCCCACTCCAGGGAGCCATACCGGAAGTCAGGGCAAAGCTGTCGCAGGGGGTCAGGCTGGGGTTCAGTCTACCTGCTCTCTCCTTGGGGACAGGGGCCAGGTCCCTGGCTGAGGCCCTGGTTACACGGAGGGAACCTGAGTGTGAATGAAATGTCTAGTTGCACCCTAGCTGGGCCCCACACAGGCTGCCACTGAGTCTTCCCTTCATCGTCCACAGCAAAGCATTTACAGTCAATAAGGGAGCTAATTAATTCTCTTCAAAGACCTCTCAATTATTCATCCAGGCTACAGAGAGACCAATTAGAGCACACCCGCCCAGCTCACAGATCTCAAAGTAGCAGCCAGGCTGGCCAGGGCCACTGCGGTGAGCCCTCTGGGTCCGGCATCCTCTGCATCCCCTGCATCCCCAGGGCTCCTCCCCTACAGGGCCCTGGCAGCCTTGTCCCTGGGGCCCCACAGGGTGGATCCTTTCCGGGGCATTCTCTTCTCCCCCAGACTCACAAGCAGCCTGGAACACCGTCCCCACTTCTCAGGGGAAGACGTGGAGACCCTGAGTGGCCAGTGACTTCTGGGGTGCAGTAGTGCGTCCAGGCAGCCCGCTGGGCACAAAACTCTCTGGTTCCAGGAAAGGGGTTTGTGTCGGGAGGGCCAGAGGAGGAAGGGGGAGACTGGGAGCAGCCCTGCAGGCCTCGCTGGGCAGTCTCATCCCCCCGCCAACTGCCAAGGGGGCTGCACCCAGCTGCCTCCGGGCCCCTGCTAGGGTTCCTCTGAGGCCAAGGGTGGGGACGCTAAGCCGGAGCTACCCCGCTTCTCTGCTCCAACTTCTTGAAGTTACTCAAGTCACTCGCCTGGGCCTGGAGGGACTGGGCAGGAGGCCTTGACCTCTCTCCAACTTTTCTCCTGCCCAGCGTTCCCACTGCGGGATCCTACTCCCCTGTCCCCCCGAAACAAGAGACCCCAGCATAAGCAGGGTTAACTCCCAGCTGCTCCCAGAAGCACAGATGGGGGTGGGGGCCGGGGCGGGCCTGTCGGGAAATATGGATTTCTGCAGTGGTTTTACTGGAAAAGCTGTAGCTGAAGGTGGGAGGGGGTCACCATGGCAACTTCTGGCTGTGGGAACAGGTTGGCTGGTGGGAACCAATTCTTCCAGGGGCCCAAGGGGACCCGACAGGGCATGGGCACCCGGAGGGACCCCACAGCAGACCCCCAGGTGTCCTCATTGTCTTGGGGCGGCAGGGAGGCCCTCCCCAACCTGGTATTACCCATTCCCCTGCCTCTCTCTGGTAGCATCTCGCCGGGGCTGGGTCTCCCCAGAGCTGGGCTCCTGACCCAGCCCCGGCCCTGTGAAGCACCCCTACACCCCAGCTGTTAAGTCGATGGACCAACTACCAGGCGCCCTGCATGAGCTCGTGGGGATGTCTGTCCAACAGCGAGGTCGGGGAACGCCCTGGGAGAGACTCCCCGCCCTTCCAACCCACCTGGGGTCCCACCCCAGCCGGGTCCGGCCGGGAAGATTCCAGCCAAAGCGACCAGTTCAAGTCCTTCTCGCCCCACACAAACACGCCTGGGCTTGAGGGGAGCGAGAGGGGGCGAGGGCAGGGACAGAAGACTCGAACGCACCTCCAACCCCTACGCCCCCTCCCTGCTCTCGGCCCGGGGGGACTTGCTGGCAGCCGGGGCGCCCCCAGGCCGCGGAGAGGGGAGATGCCGTGCCGTGCCGGGCCACGGGATCCGGCCGAGGGTGCGGGCGACCCGGACTGGCCCTGGGGCCCCTCGCGCTGGGGCTCAGAAGGGGTCAGCGAGGGTGCGTGCTCGCCCCTTCCAGGAATCTCCAAGGCGGGGCCCAACGCGTGGGAAGGGGCAGGGAGGGCAGAGGCCGCGCCCACCGCGCTCATTGGTCCCGGTGGCCCGAGCTCGGCCGAATGACCACCTGCCGCGAGCGTGTGGCGAGTCCTTGCCCTGCTGGAGGTCCTGCGCGGGTGACTGCTCTGAGCCTCAGTCTTCTGTCTGTGCCAAGGGAACAATACGCTCTTGTCCCCAGGGGGCGGTGGGCACTGAGTTCCGGTAATGCCCGAAGACCAGTGGGCGCGGGGTGCCACGGCCCCCCACCCCGCCTTCCCAGGCAGCCCGCCCGCCCTGGCTCGCTCAGGTCCCCCAGGCCCGAGCCGTGCAGGTGACGGGTGACCGGCGCAGGTGCGGCTTCCCCAGCCAGCCAGCGCCTGTTCCCCGCCGCGGAGTCCTTCCTTCCCTAGAGCCCCGCTGCCCAGCCTGGGTTGGGGCCGCCCCGCCCCCGTCGCGCTCTCGGATCTGCCGAATCCGGATTTAACATTTGGGGTAGATAAGTGCTGCATATAAATAATTAGGAGCGCATGCACATTGGCCAACAACAGCAAAAAGTCTTTAACCCCCATTCCAGGAGCAGCAGCTGCCTGTGTGGACCCCAGGGCGGGGCTGCTCAGCCCCCCCACCCCACCCCACTGGTTCTTGGGGACCATCAGCTGGGGGGCTCCAACCCAACAGCCCAGCCTGGGGCTCAGGGGCTTTTGCCCCGCGTGGCCCAGGGTGGGCAGGGAGAAGGTGGCAAAGGAGCCCCAGCTTAGAGGTGAATGGCGACCCTAGCACTAGGCTGGCTGCACTCCAGACTCCCTCCCTAGGCAGGGCTTCCCAGCCCCAGCCTCTCCTGGACCAGTGTGTGGCTCGGCGGGGTGGCCTCCGGTGAGAAGGACTCTCCACCACTCAGCTCAGGGCCTGCCAGGCCCCCGCCCACGGGGCCTCAGCCCACCCTTCCGCAGGCCATCTGCCAGGCTGGCAGGGCTCCTGTGCCCCAGGCCTTTGCTGAGCTCTCCCTGGTGGGCTGTACCTCTGCTGGTGTCCATCCCCCCACCCCCTGTCCATCACCCCCCGGGAAGGAAACCCACCTCGGCCCTTGGCCCTCTATTTTCTCACCTGCATTATTCAGTTCTTTCCTGAATGTCCATTGCATTCCAGCCACGCACTACACGTCTCAGAACAAGGATGGAAGACCCAGGCCCTGCCCCTTGGCAGCCCCCAGACCATCCCAGGACACTGACCAGTGACCAGTGACAGAAGCTGCTCTGAGGTGAGCCAGGTACAGGGGCGACAGAGGGAAGGAGGAGTGTGTCTCTGCAGAGGGCTGGGGCTATCTTGGGGGCGCTTCACACAGACTGAAACCCAGATGGGGCTCCTCCAGGTGCCACAGGAGGAAGACAAGACAGTGCCTCCGGCCCGGCACGGGCCAGGCTTCCCACAGCCAGGGGTCCAGGAGGCTGCAATCTGGTAGTGCTGCTCACTGGCAAGTTGCTCCACCTCCCCGATCTCAATTTCCTCACCAGTGAAATGGGTCCTGGCCCTGCAGAGCTCCTGGGCTGTCTGTCGGGGGTCCTCTCCTAGGTGGGAGACAAAACACTCACCCAAGCACCCAGAGCAGACCACTGGCAGGCATGCTAGAGGGACTGGGGGCCCCGGAGCTGTGCTGTCCCTGAACCTTCCTCCCAAGAGGCAGCTCACCTCTGCTCACCAAGTGTATGAGGACCACACCTGAGTGCTGGGGGTTGCTGGGGTTGTATTAGTGTCCCCTGTGCCACCAGGCCGGGAACTCCGGGCAGCACACACTGCCAGCCCCTGGCAGGAGCGGGACAGTATTTGAAGCTCCTCCCTGCATCCCAGGGCACGTGCCGCAGCAGCTGTGGTTCTGAATGTTGTTCTGCTGTTCCAAGTGGGGGGTCCTGAGGGCCTGCCATACCCCAGAGCCAGGGCAGGTTCAGTCTTGTCTCTGTTCTCAGTGAGGGCAGCACCCAGCACAGGGACACCCAAGCCCCCTGTGCCCACATCGCTTGCAGGCCTGCAGCTCCACCTGTGAAGTCCATCAGTCAAATAAGGTAGGCAGCAGTGACCTCTGAGCCTGCGCACTGTTCAGAGCATACACCTGCCAATAAAAGTCAGCTCCCTGAAACTCTGCCAATCTGAGGAATGCACCTCTCCAGATCCCAGCTGTGCTATCCTGGCCAAGCCCCAGATGTCCAAGGTGCCCCAGCAATGGCCACTGTGAGACTCCCAAGGGAAGAGAAATTAGATCTGTCTGTGGCACAGACCAGGCCCTGAGGGGACAGGATGACAGAAGGGTTGGCAGTCCTTCTAAAACAATCCTCCTCAGGGTATAGAAGGCAGATGCGCTTCAGTGCTAGGTAAGTAGTGTTCTAATGGCAGCTCTGGGACCAACGACTGACTGGAGCACTTTCGACTAAAGCGCACAGTAGGTGCTCAGCACATAGTAGCTGTTTGGTGCACAGTAGATGTTCCGCACATAGAAGCCACCATGTATGTCCCTCAGCTTACAGCGGGTTATGGCAACCCATCTCAGTTGAAAATATGCACTTAATCCTATGGGCCATCCTAGTGGAAGCAACATAATCACAACAGAGTGTCAGCTTCCTCAAGCGATTTCAGGGCTGCCAGGGAGCTGTGGGTCCCCTCCACTGCCCAGCATCTGGAGAGAGTACAGCATCATCATTTGGTAGTCTAGGAAGAGGTCAAGATTTACATCTGCTGTCACACCACAGGAAAATTAAAAACCATAATGGAACCATCCTGGGTTGGGGCCACCTATACTGGGAATGCTGCTCATCCTGTTGTCCCTGGACTCAGGTCCTCGAAGGGGGTTGGGCAGCCATTCCTGCCCATGCCCTGTGACCCTGAGATGGGAGACTCTGCTGGAACAGTTGGGGAGACCCACCCAAGGGGGAAAAGGTAGGTGCCTCCAGCACAGCGGACCCAAGCCCGGGCTCCTGTCCAATGGATCCCACCCATGCCCATTGCCTGGACCCTCCTGGCCTTTCCCACCGAGGCTCTGGCCCTGGTGGCTGCAGGAGCAGAGGGAATGCAGGGAAGGGTCTTAGGGGAAGGGTGCCCGCCTGGGTCTCTGTCCAGCCTTCAGGGGCAAAGGGAGGAGCATTGGCCTCTGATGTGGACTTTGAGTCCCTGGAGGGCAGAGGCTGCGGGTTTCTCTTCCTTGGGTCCCCTGTGCCTAGCATTGGGGCAGCATCTGTGGATCTGGACCCGCCCTATGTGGTCATCCTGCTCTGTGCCTGGCATCGCACCCCTCCATCGTCCTGCCTGGTGTGGAGGACCCAGCAGACAGGGAGCTGACCCTGTGCCTGGGTCCAGGCCCAGTAACAGGAAGCGAGAGCCCGATGCTTGCCGGTAAACGAGATCTGAGAGATTAGAGGTCTTGCTGCCTAATCAGAAGCTGCCTGAAGTTGGAGGACAAGTTACTGGAAGGAGGAGGAAGCTGCAGTGGTAAATAATGTCAGCTGAACAGATGCACAGCTGAGAAGCAGCGGGCGCCAGGGTGGGGGAGCAGGTGCAAGGGTGTAAGCTGGTCTCCAGCGGATCTGGGGGCACCTGGGAGGGGGAGGGGTCCAGCCGGGCCCTGAGCACAGCTGGCAGAGTCTGAGGAAGGCACAGGTCTCCAGAGTTCCCACCCGGGAGCTCATGAGTCCTTCACAGCCTCCTCCCTCCCCAGGAGGCCCCTGAAGTGTGCACCTGGCCCTGAGCCCGCCTGGCTCCCCCTGGGTCCTCCCTGCCACACACCCATAGCCCAGATTCCTGGAAGGCTGGCTGCTTCCCAGGGAGCACAGGGAGTCCCAGGGTGGCAGTCCCCAGAGGGTTCCCCAGGATTCCCGCTGCTGTCACGCCCTCACTCTAGGCCTTCTGTGGGCTCCTAGGCTCCATATCTGCCCCTCGGGCCCCCTGAAGGCCCCTGAGCAGCTCTGAAAGGTCTGCAGCTCCCTGAAACCCCACCCTACTGGACCCCGAAGTGTGGTGCTGAACCCAGCAGCTCCAGTTCCAAGGCACAGAGCTCCAGGCTTTGGCAGGCCAGAGAGCGGCCTCTGGTAAAGAAGGGGCTGTGCCAGCATGGGAAGGGGCTCCAACCTAGCCAGAGGGGAAGTGGAGGCACAGCAGCACGCCAGGCTTAGAGAGGTGCCGGGCATGATTCACAGGCTTGCCCAGCCCACCTTTGCTTCCCTGCAAGTCCACGGTGCACGGCGTCCCTGGTCTCCCCAGACCCCTTGTCATCTCTAACCTTCTCCAGACCCACCCAACCGTTCTTCCTTCGGGTCTGGTCACCTTTGATCCCCACCCGGACCCCTGTAGTTGGCACTAGCAGCCCGGGCCATGCCATGATGGCCAGCCGAGCAAATGGGAGCTTCAACTTTGTGTCCCATGCTCCAGGCCTCTCACATGGGGCAAGCGTGGGGAGTGGGTGAGCGTGACACACTTCTGTGTGCAGAGCATGGTTCCCAGTGCAGAAGGTGATGGAAGAGGAAATCCCCATGGCCTTGAGGTGCGGAGAAGCCCTTCACAAGAAAGATCTTACTCACAAACCGAGCGCAATCTGTGTGGCTATGAGAAATGAAGGGTTCCTGGCCCATCACGGATGCCCTCCAAGCAGAAAGCCGAGCTGTGGGAAGGGCAGGGACCATGGCACACTTGAGCACCCAGAAGCAGTGATGGGCACACGTGGAAGGGAGCCTCATCCACCTGGCTGGTCATCGAGAAGAGAGAAGACAGGAACAGGCTCATCACCAACAGGGTCCCAGATGGCACAAACACAGGAAGACACCACCCTGCCCGGCCAGAGACACCCTCCCCGCCCCGCGCCCGCCTGCCAGGATGGCTCCTGCTGACAACTCTGCAGCTGCCAGGTGGTGCAGGGATAGAGGAGCAGTGGGAAGTAGAGTCCACCCTTTAGGGAATGCCCACGGGTGTCTCGTGACTCACCAGGTCCTTCCCAGCTGTTTTGCTGTGACAGAGGCCTCCAAGCCTGGGCAGCAGGACTCAGCACACTCCAGCAGCAGACCAGCACCCAGCCCAGAGTTCTGTGGTAGAACAGAGGGACAAAGTGGGTCCCGGGCACGAGATGATGCCTCTCATCTCAGGAATGTGATTCGGTCCAGAGGAGCCTGCCTAAAAAGGACACCTACTGACTCTACTCAAACACCAGCTGTACCCCACTGCCACTGAGGGAGGCCCACATGGTGGCAGAAACTGTAAGAAAAGCAGGTGGTTAGCACTCTGGGAGGCTGAGGCAGGAAGATCCGAAGTTTAAATCCAGGCAGGGCAATTTAGGAAGACCCTGTCTCAAAAATAAAAATAAAGGGGCTAAGGATGTAGCTCAGTGCAAAGGCTTAGGTTCAATCTCTAGTACAAGAAAGAAGGAGAAAGAGAGAGAGAGAACAAGAGAGAGTGAGAGAGAGAGAGAAGAGGGAGGAGAAATGTAAAGTAGATGATCATAACAGGGCAGTGTGACTGCTGGCAGAGGGAAGGGTTTCGTGGGCAGAGAGCTCCTGGAACCCCGGCCATGGTTTATTTCCTCATCTGAGTGGCGGTGATGTGAGAGTTCATTTGACATTTATATTTATTTGCCACTGTACAAACACGTTTAGTGCGCTTTTCTGTAGGGTGTTATATTTCACAGTCCAAACAGAAAACCAAGTGTATTTGCACTGCATGCCGGGTGCCGGGCATCACAGCTCTCACCAGCTGGCCCTGGAGGTCCCTGTCCATGCTGGCGGAGAGGGGGTGGGCAGTCTTGGTGCATGGGGCTCCCCAGCTCCGATCTGCAGTGCTGCCTGCTCTTCCCTCCATTCTCTGCTGCCCCCACTCCGGATTTCCTGAGATGGTTCAAGGTGAACTCTGATGTGTGGTTCCAAGATTCGGTCAGCTGTCCCTCCCCAGTGGGAGGCTCCCAGCGGGAAAGGCACTGGTTTTAGAGGAGCCTCCCACATCGCTCTTTTCCCCTCCCAACAGCACACACAGCTCTGATGTGGGGTGGCACCCACAGGGGCCCAGTGCTTCCCGACCGCCATGCCCCGCCGGGACCCCAGGCCCAGTGCCCTGCTCTTTTGTTCCCATCCTGGCTGGGAGTGAAGAGGATGATGATGCAAACAGCTGTCCCATGGTGCTGAGGCTCTCTGGGTGGGCGGGCCAGCATCCCACAGAGGCCTCGAGGCCAAGGGTGTAGGATGGAAAGGACATTTCCCCAGGCCTGTTTACCCGGCCCTCACTATCCCCAGCTGCATCTGCTGCCTGCCTTTATCTCCACGAGCCTGCCCCGGTTCCCAGCAGCAGCCACCTCCTGCTCACTTCCTGCCAGCGGCCCAGCGTTACAGGAATCCGCACCCTGAGCTGGGCCTGTGAGTGTATGTGTGGCCACACCCGGACTGCACCTGCCTGGGCAAGGCCAGTGACCTGGGGGCACCCCGAGAGGCAGCCCCGCCACACTCCTGTCTTGAGCTTCCTGCAGGCTGCACAGTCTCCTGCTGCCTGGGAAGTGGTGAACAGATGGTTCGGGACAGCCAGCTCAGGGGTGATGGAGGACCCCCAGACTGTCCTTGTAGTGGGACCTACATTTGTCCTCCAGCCATGCAGCGGGGGGCCCAGGACTAGGGGTAGCCAGCCGCCGGGTCCCTCCCTTGTCACCATTCGGCTGGTTTTCACTGAGTCCCGAGGGCCAGGCTCCGGGCTAGGCCTTTAGGATGTAGGGAAGGACAAGATACACTCCAGGCCACACAGAATGGCTGGGAGTGAACCCACAGCTGTGGCCCTGGGCAGTGGGAGGGCCAGGGGCTTCCTCCAGGAGGAGGTGTCTCAGCTGAGACCCAAAGACTGAGAAGCAAATGGCAGGGACACATGCTGAGGGTCAAGGGCCTTCAGGACAGAAGGAATGTGGGTGAAAGAGAGGCGGACACACTCAGGAACCAGGAATGTCACCTTCAGGCGAGGGTACTGGTAAGAAGCAATGGTGGCTGGACCCACAGAGCCCAGGCCACACCCGGGGCTGAGGGCAGGGCTGGCTGTGCAGCATCAGATGTTGGGGGCCTGCTGGGCCCAGATAGGAGCCCAAGGGGGCCCAGCCAAGGCACTGGCTGCAGAAAGAGAAGGGGACAGCTGGTCTTGGGGACAGGAGGTGACCCCTGACCTTGGGCGGTGGGAACTCCCTCGAGAGTTAGAGGAGGAGGGAAAGGCTCAGCTGGGGACCAGCACAAGGGAGTGGGCTCCGTGCAGACTTCCAGCCAAGCCTGGGGCCTGTGACCTGTTCCCAGCTGCTACCAGGATGACTTAGATCTCAGGTGCAGCTAGGGACCCACACAGACATGCACACACACATATACACACGGACACACACATACAGACCCACCCACAAACGCACACCAGTACATGCATGTACACTGTGTGAGCACATCCTGTACATTTACTGTGCATATACACACGGGCACACAATACACATGTGCCAGTGTGAACACACCACACACACATATCCACATGCCCTTATATATGTGACTATGCATGTACACATATGCACACATACTATACACATGTGCACTCATGTACAACCCATTCATAGATACGCACATAGATACAAACTTGTACACCCATACACTCACATGAGCCTAGGTAATCTCTCTGGGGCTGAGTCTTGGGAAAACATGCCTCAGTGTGTGTGTGGATATTTGGCACTGGAGGCTGAACCCAGGGCCTCTGCACTGAGTTACATCCCAGCCTCCATTTTATCTTTTATTTTGAGACAAAGTCTTGCTAAGTTACCCAGGCTGGCCTCAAACTTGTGCTCCTCCTGCCTCAGCCTCCCAAGTAGCTAGGATTAGGGCGTGCACCAGTGTCAGGCCACACTAGTGGCTCTTTCATGACAGCCCACCTTCCTGCTCCCCCAGTGCTGCAGATCCCACTGTGCCAAGGTGGGCCCAGTGCAGGTGCTCTGGCGACCAGGCCGAAGAACTTGACGATGGAGTCTGTCTGTCCCCACTTGCCCAGGGAACAGGTCACCTCCCCAGGGGACCAGTCTGCTCTAGGAGAAGAAAGGCCCAGCTTGGTGACCAGCTGGATGGCCTGGGTGGGATCCTGAGGCTTGAGAGTCTCCTGGTCCTCTGCCTGAGCCGCTGTGAGGATTAGCAGGGAGAAACCAGGGGGAGGCTTTGCAAACTGCGAAGGCCTGTGAACTGGCTGTTCTGAGGCTCTGCCCTGGAGAAAGGGGGCCTGGGACCCAGTCTTTTGTCTTCATGCTCCCCATCTGTCGTAGTTACTTCTCTCTTGTTGCTGAGACAAAACACTTGACACCCAAAGTTAAAGGGGGAAAGGTTTATTTAGCTCACAGTTTGTAGAGGTTTCAGTCCATAGTCAGCTGGCTCCAAGGCAGGGTGGCAGAGCAGAGGGCATCACAGAGGAGAAACAGTTCATGGTGGGGAGAAGACAGCAAAGCAACCAAGGGACGACCAAGCTCTTTCTGCCCCTTATATCTCATCCAGGCTATGTAGGGCAGGCAGCACTCACACCCTTAATCCTAGTGTCCTTGATCCTAACATTGCACCATGGATCCATTCCAGCGTCACACACCCTGATCCAGCCACCTCTGAAAGCCCCACCTATGACTGCGTGAGGCTTTGGGGGGCCTCTAAACACATCTGTAGCCCCATCCATCTCCTTTCCGTAGAGGCCTCTGCTCCCCACCCCGCACTTCCTAGCACTTCCAGCCAACGAGATAAGGGGCTTGTTTTCTATGGGTCGGGAATTTGGGAATTCGTGGAGATTGTGGGTCAGCGCCAGAGGGGCCACACTGGGAGGGCAGGGAGCCTTTCGTTGGTCAGGTTGCCTTGGAGCCACAGAGCTGCAGGCACTTGAGACTTCCACCCTTCCTGGTTGGCCCTTGAGAGGTGGTCCTGACCAGGGCAGTGGCTCTGAGGCCCGACCTCCATCCCTGCTCACTTCTCCACCCACGTGGGACCCTCAGGCTCCCAGCAACTGCCTCCCTAAGCCTGCATCCTGCCACCTCAGCCCCTCCGCCATTGCCTGGTTAATACCCCCTCTGCCTTCAAAGCTCAGCTTAGTCCCTCCTTCCCCAAGCAGGAGGGCAGGATGGCCTGCTCCAGCCCCCACCTGCTTCTGTGAACACCCTTGCCCCTCCAAAGGAGGACTGTGTGAAGGAGGAGGCACTCAAGCCACCCCTTCAACTGCCATTCTTTGAGCCCTGTGAGGCTGTACATGCACATCCAGTTGCATCCACCCTTGTGTGCCCTGCTTGGCACCTACCTAGACAGTGCCTGATATACAGTGGGTACTCAAACCATGTTGAGGGATGAGAATTTAGCTCAGTGGTGCTGTGCCTGCCTCGAAAGCACAGGGTCCTGAATTTGATCCTCGGTACCACAAAACAAACAAACAAAACCTCATATTGACCCAGGCATGGTGGTGCACACCTGTAATCCCAGCACTTGGGAGGCTGAGGCAGGAAGATCACCTCAAGTTTGAGGCCAGCATGGACTATATAGTGAGTCTAGAGTCAGCCTGAACTACAAAGCGAGACCCTGCCCAAAACAACAACAACAACAACAACAAAAACAAAACATATTGAATAGGAGCTTAAGCTTGGCTTTGTGGCACACACCTGCATTCTGGCTACTCAGGAGGCTGAGGCAGGAGGATCACAAATTCAAGGGTGGCCTGAGCAACTCAGCAAGACCCTATCTCTAGATATATGTAAATAGAAAGGGCTGGGAATGTAGCTCAGCACTCCTAGGTCCAATCTCTAGTAACACACACACAAAGGAGGAGGAAGAGGAAGAGGAGAAGGACAAGAGAGAGGAGGAGGAACAACATAATATTGAGTTTCAGATCTGGATCCCCGAAGTAACTGATTCCCAGACCTGACCAATTTCTACTTGAGTAACTGGAGGGTGTTCCTTAGCTTCTGATGTCTCTGTTTCCCCATCTGTGAAACAGGGGCGAGTGATAGTGTCTCCAGAGTTGCTGGGCGGCTTAACTGTTAATCTGAAGTGTCTAGGGCAGAGGCCAGTGTATGGTAAGAACCCCAAGAAGTTGGCTCTATAAAAGCCTGCGTGGCCTCAGTTTCCCCCTCTGCACCAGGACCACACTTGAACACACAGAAGGGAGACTACACTGGGTGTGGGTTTGTGGTTTGGCCTGAGTGCCAGTCCATCAGGCTGGCTGTTCCCACTGGGCAGAGCCAGACAACGGGCATCTCCACTACACACTCGCAACTGAGACTGACTGGTCTTTGGGTCCTGCATTCCATAGCATGCTGTTCACACGGTCACTAGGGCTGGGCTGGAAGGGCCATCATAGGGACACAGAGGCTGGCCTTGCCCTTGGTCAGCAGCTCATGGCCCCAGTGTTGCCCATCAACCTACGGTTCTTTTGCTCAATTCAGTTGGAAATCGTGAATTTGCAAAGTGCAGCTCTGCTGTTGTTACTAGATGGTACCGGATGACATTGGATGTCCACAGTTGACTCTGCCAGCTGCTGCTTGCTTGTCACCACCATTGCTGGCCACCACCATCTAGTGCCAGCTCATGCCAGACACTGTAGGCTGTCTCCTGCAGCTTCACAAGGTGCAGGTCTCTGTGGCTGGGCTTTGTGGGCTACTGGACTCTGGAGCTCTTCTGTGCTGACAGCTTTGTGTTTACAGCTCCTTCTGAATGACCATTCTGGCTACACTACTCAGGGTAAAAATCCTGAGTAGATTAACAGGGGTTTTGGAGCTCACACTACCCAAGAAGCAGTTTTACAGCAACACCAAAATGAGTCTCCATGGGCCTGTGCTGCAGCATGGGGGGTCAGGACACTGGAGGTGCCTCCTAGACAGAACCTGAGAAGTGGGTGGGCAGGGTGCTTAGGGAGCAGCACAGGCCTGCATCAGTGAGGGCTAGGGCTGGAACTAGGGAATCTTCTGGGAGCCTTGCTGTGAAGGCTGGGTACATAAATAAAGGGCCCCGATCCCTCACTTCCTGACCTTTACCACACCAGGGTGCCCGCTCCCTTCTTCAAAAAGGCAACAGCAGCATCTGGAGTGGGAGAGGGACCCCACAGTCTGGCTGTACTCATGTTGGACAGGAGAGTGGCAGCTTGATAGCTAGGGAGGACAATGAAGAAAGCCCTCCCAGTCCACTGGAGGAGAAAGGGGAGTGAAAGGAGGAGAGAGGATGGGGCACAACAGCCGCTGGCCAAGCCACATCCCCTCTGAGAGAGTCCGTTGCTTCTCGTCTGTCTCATCAGGGCCACTTGGATGTGTGGGCCAGAAGTCTGGGTCTCACCAGCAGGAGCACACGCTAGCTGGGAGGTGGGACGTGAGACATAAAGATAGGTAAGGAGGAGACAAGGAAATTCAAAAATGTTAAACTGTACTTTTAAGAAAAAACTGCACCTTCAGAGCACAAAGTTACCCAAGGTCACGATGGCCTCTTCCTTTCCATAAAAATTTCTAAGGGTCTTAAAGCTTGTAAATCAAGGCCTCATTCTTCCTCCAATAGACTCCACACTCCAGGAAGCAGTGTATCTCAGCCTCAGAGACACAGAATTGAACTGCATTCTAACCCAGCCCACCAAATGGCTATCCTGACAGTGTGAACACATATACTGGATCACCCATTTCGAAGACACCCCCACGATCACATAAATCTACCAGTCCCAGACCATAACACACCTGTCTCGAGGGTCCACACTCTATTCTGAGTGTATATTTTTAAAATTCTGCCTAGTAAGCCATTTTTTAAAAAAAGACAAGGTCTTGCTATGTAGCCCAAGCTGGCTTCGAACTTGTGGCGACCCTCTTGCCCCAGCCTCCCAAATGCTGGGTTTATAGGCATGTGCCACCATGCCTGGTTCTAATAAACCTTTCTAATGTCTCTCACTGACAGTCCGATAACTTTGTTGTGACATAAATCAGTGACCCTACAACCTACCCCGTGGCTGGGGTGAGTTGAGGTCCCCATCTCCTTTTGGGGGGACCTCCAGGGACTTTGTCTAGTGACCAGTCCACCCCGGACCCACAGGCCCAGAGCACACTCATCTCCTTATGTGAAATGTGAAGTGGCTTCCTCCCAGAGGCTGCAAGCATCCAATTTCCCATAGAAAAAGACAACCTCTACTTTTTTCTTTCGTATATCGATAAACACTGAAGAAGCTGAAGCTGTTAAATTCATCTTGGGGAAACCACAGAACTGGTTTATGTGGCATTATGGGGCTTCTTAGTGCTTTCACTATAGGATTTGGGGGGGGGGGGACCTTGGGCTTGCGAGGCAGGCTGCGGAACCACTGAGCTAAATCCCTGGCTGCTATAGGATTATTAATCAACTGTTTTGTATATTTGTTTTCAGTTTTCATTTCGACATGCGCTCCAGTTATAGCTATTATAATAAAGTATCTTAACAATTAAAATATAATAAAATGCTCCAGAATCCCCTGTGGGTTTGGTCTCTGCCGCGACGAAACGGGGACTACAACTCCCAGCATGCCGCGGGCCCCTCCTGTTTTGTTTCCGATCCTGTCGCAAGGGGCGGACCACAACTCCCAGCGTGCCCCGGGCCCCAAGCTAAGTCCTAAATCCGGAAAGTCCGAAGGCGCCGACCCACGGCCTCGAGTGGGCACCCGCTGGGAAGAGAAGGGTTAGCCGCTCTCGGCGGGGTGGAGAGACCGGTGCAGCCTCCGCCATGCTCCACGCACTGGCCGGGGCCGCGACCCTGGGGCTCAGGGGGCCCTGGGCGCGGTGGTCTGGGAGGCGGGCGGGGGTCCAGGCCCACGTGGTGGACCTGCGCAGCGACACGGTGACCAGGCCTGGGCCGGCCATGCGGCGCGCCATGGCCGAGGCGATCGTGGGGGACGATGACTACGGCGAGGACCCGACGGTCCGCGGTGAGCCCCAAGTGCAGGCCCCGGGCGGGGGTCGTCAAGCTGACGCGGAGCGCTGTCCGTGGTGCTAGGGAGAGGGCGACCGGAACGGGATGGTGGCGCCGCTCAGTGAGCGCCTGTGGCAGGCCAGGCTTTGCGCTCTGCTTGCTTCTCGGTCCGTCCCAAGACCCCAAGCTCGGCAGCAATGCAGGCTCCCAGCCCCTCCCGCCGGCGTGTAGATAAGTCGCCGCATGGGGCGAAGGAGGTGCTTGCGTTGACAGCAGTCTTGGTGGGGGTGGCCAGAATCCAGATCTCAGGGGCCTTGAATGGCATGCCGAAAACTCTGAGTTTGCTGCTGCAGTCAGAGGGGAGCCACGGGAGACTTTAAAGCAGGAGCCCCACTTGTCCTCCGACTGCACCTTTTGTGCCCGCTCCGCCTCCGCAGAGGCTCCCCTTCTGAGGGGGAGCGGAAGTCAGCTGAGAAACCACAGGGCCCCACCTGCCAGGACTGATGGGAAAGGAAGTGCAGCAGGTGTGGGCCTAGGTGGGACAAGGGGTTCAAACCACAAGCAAATTTTGGTGGCCTGTGTGAAGAGGGCCATGGCCCAGGAGGAGGCAGGACGCAGAGAGCTGAGTGAGGGACCTGGGGCCCAGCTGTGTGGTTACCAAGCCACAGACTGCAGCCTGCAGACTGGGCTCCAGCCCGCCCACTGGGCACTCACCGCAGCCTCTCAAAGACGAGCTCCCAACTGTGCCCAGGCGTGGCCACCTGCAGCCGCTCTGAGCATGAGTGATGATAAAGCCTTCCCGGGCCCACCCCTCTCCCTTCCCAGAGCTGCAGGAAAAGGCTGCGGAGCTGCTAGGGGTGGAGCAGACTCTGTTTGTGCCCACCAACACTATGGCCAACCTCATCTCTGGTGAGTTTGCCCCCAGGGCCTCAGTGCACACTCTGTCCCTCGGTGCCATTCATGGATGGCACTTCCGGATTTCTGTTGTCCCGCCCAGTGTGGTGCCCTGGCAGGAGATGGAGGGTGAGGTCAGGGCTGCTTCCAGCTCCTCCTCCCTGGGGTGCCCTGGATCCCCACTCCTGTACGCACACTGTCCGCACCCTTCAGGACTTCCTGTGACCTCCTCCCCCTGCCTCACCTTGTGTACCATCCTTCGTTAAACACCACTCAGCTTCCCACCAGGCCCTTACAGCTGCTGGTGCCCTAGGCCGCCTGTCCCCAAGGGGTGGCACTGTGGCTGGCATCTTCCTGCGGGTGGTGATCTGCAGGCTGTGTGTGGCCCCGTGTTTACAGTGTGGCCAACCCACAGTTGCATACTTAGAGCGATGGTGTTCCAGCACGTGGTGTTAAGATGTTTTGAAGGAGCCCTTTCTGGATCGGTATGAGACATGTCAGCTTGCTGTGGCCAAGCTGAGAGGGGCAGATGGGTCCCCGAAGAATCAATGCCAAGTCCTGCCCTCCTCCCATCTGTCTCAGTGATGGGTCACTGCCGGCGCCGGGGCTCCCAGCTCCTCCTTGGGCAGGAGTGCCACCTCCAGGTCTATGAGCAGGGCGGGGTGGCTCAGGTAAGGAGCAGGTACTGCTCCCCTGGGGCCCTGGGCATCCTCTAGCCAGCGCAGGTCCTCCAGTGGGAACCACTTCCCAGGCTTTGGCTGGGAGAGAGAGAAAGCCAGAGAAGCTGGTCAGGGAGCTAGGAGGAACAGCGGCTCTCAGATTTACCACTTGGGGGCAGCAGCGGCCCAGGCTGGCTCCAGGGACCCTGGACAGTTATTTCTGCCCAGTGCTTGTGTTTCGGTGCCCTCCTGCCCCCTAGTGGGCACTGAGAGCACTGGCACTGGAGGTGGGGAGCCTGAAGACAGCACAACAGAAAAGGGGGCTGGCACCCTCCTCAGCTGGGACATCACGTCAAGAGGCCAAGGGAAAGGGCCAAGGCCCAGAGCTGAGGAGAAGCGGGCACAGGATTGGGGAGCGGGGGCTGGCTCCCTACCCCAGACAGTCCTCCCCCGCCAGGAGGCGCTGCTGTACCCCTGGGACCCCTGACTCCTCCTCCACCTGCAGCTCGCCGGGGTGCTTGCCAACCCACTCCCGGACCTGCCACATGGCACGCTGGATCTGGCTGAGCTGCAGAGGGTGCTTGCTCGGGGCCACGGGAGCCCCTACCACCCAGTGTGTGAGCTCGTGTGCCTGGAGAACACGCACTGCAGCTCCGGAGGCCGGGTCCTGCCCATCGACTACCTCCGCCAGGTAGGCCTGCTCCCCACCATACCCCACCACAGCCGGGTGCAGCTTCCTCTGTCCTCTGGGTCCCCATCTGAGACTGAGCCGCTCTGATGCACACCCTGTCAGCGGCCTCCTGCCCACATGTCACCCACCAGTGGCCAGACTATCACAGGGGGACATGTGCCAGCCCAAGGCTGAAGGTGCACAGGGAGTAACTGCCCCAGTTTGGGAGCCTCAGTCCCTAGACCCGCCCGAGAGCAGAGGTGTCACATGTGAGCCTGCTGAGAGCCCAGACCATGGCCACCACAGCACAGTCCTGGTGAGGCTGTGAAACATGTAGCAGGCTCCAGCTACCCTGGTCCTTTGCACAGCCTGTGAGGTGAGAAGTCGCAGTGTCAGAGTCCTGGTGCTTCCCCAACCTTGTGCCCCTGCCTCAGTGAGCACTCTGGTGACCCCTCGGGATGTGTTGTGTGGCTTCCCGGAGGTGAGACATTAATGCCCTCAGCCTGTCAGAATGCTCCATAGAGAAGAGTTACAGCTGAAGTCCTAGCTCTGCAGCAGTGCTTGCCTAGCATATGCAAAGGCCCTGGGTTCCACCTCAGCACCATGTGCGTGAGTATGCACACGCACACACCCTGAGGAGTTAAAATGCTCACCCTCATCCCCTTCCACAGGGGACAGTGCTGAGGCTCAGGTGGCACATGACCGCTCAGGTCCCACATACCCAGAGCTGGTCACCACACCAGGCTCCTGACTCCAGACCTTGTGATTCCTCCGGGGGTCACACCCAGGAGCCTCCCGGAGACCTGTCCTCCTTGGGGCTGGCCCCTCTGACCTCTGCCTGCCCTGCATTCCAGGTACACCTCCTGGCCAGGACCTATGGGGCCCGCATCCACCTGGATGGGGCCCGGCTGATGAATGCAGCCGTGGCTCTGCGTGTGCCCCCTGCCCACATCGTGGAGCACTGTGACTCTGTGTCTTTCTGTTTCTCCAAGGTGGGGACAGCCCTGGGCTTGCCTTCCAGAGCCAAGTGGGTAGTGGCACACTGTGGGAGGTAGAGTTGGTTCTCTGGGCTCCAAGTGCCAGAGCAGCTGCCCCAGCCCAGGGACAGGATGCTATGCAGGGGGCAGCAAGAGTTTCTCCTCTCTCCCAGGGCCTGGGTGCACCTGGGGGGGCCCTGGTCGGGGGGCCCAAGGACTTCATTGAAGAAGCCTGGCGTTTCCGGAAAGCCCTGGGCGGAGGCATGCGCCAGTCTGGGGTGCTGGCTGCTGCAGCCCTGGTGGGCCTGGCTGGCGCAGAGGAGGCCCTGCTGCAGGACCACAAGAATGCCCAGAGATTCGCCAAAGGTGGCTGCACTGCCCTCACCCTTACTTCCCTTTGCCCCCCAGCTTGGGCTTGGGGATCCCCTGCAACAGGGCTCAGATCCCCACCAGTCTGTATCCTTGAAGCCTCTAGGATGTTGGGGTTAGCACTGAGTCTGCAGGTGGGACCAGGTCTGCCTGGGTCCCAGACCCCCTTCCTCACAGTGCCCGACAGCAGGAAGCACTTGGCAGAGTCAGGAACTGGGCCTGCTGCAGAATCCAGCAGAGCGTGTAGCCTGAATGTGGATATTTCACCCATTACTTGAATCCTTGAAACAATCTCATACTGTCCCCAATTCACTGATGAGGAAACGGAGGCCCACAGGTGAAATGGCACAGTCAAACCTGTGTGACCCCAAAGGCCGTGTCAGGACTCAGGGTCATTCTTTTCTCTTGCACTGTTGGGCTGCCTCTCTGCTTTCCCCAAGGACAGTTCTGGGGGTGGGGACCATAGTGGGGTCCTGGGATTGGGCTCTACTCACTACAGGACCTGGCCTAGGTCTCCAGGAGTTGGCGTCGCCCGTCTGCTCTGTAGATCCTGCCACTGTGGAGACCAACATGGTGCTGGTGAGGGTGAACGGGTTGGCACCCACAGAGCTGTGCCAGCGCCTGCAGGTGGTGAGCGCTGACGAGGTGGCACAGATCGGCCGTGCTGTGCATGTGCTGGTGTTTCCCTGGACAGAACAGTCCGTGCGTGCTGTGTGGCACCGTGACATCTCCACCCAGGACACTGACCTAGCCCTGAGGAAGTGGGCACTCGTGCTGAGGCAGCTGGAGTCCTGAGGACAGGGTGATCAGGGACCCCATATCCTGGCAGGGACTGAAGTGGGGAGAGGTGTTCGGAGCCTGTGGCCTAGCAGCCTGCCAGAAGTAATGGCCAACCTCTGTGGGGAGGCAGCACCATCCAAAGCCTCAGGGTTCTCAACAGTGACTCATATGTGATGTCCCCACTCCATCAGAAATAACCAGGCATGGGATCAGACAAGATGTGACTGAAAATCAAGGGTAAAAGCCAGATAAACAGACCTGAGGGTGATCAAGATAACAGAGTTATTAGGATTTCAGATCAAATATTTAAGGAATTACCAGGCAAGATTGAAAAATTTAACAGAGAACTTGAAACTGTAAGATGACTGCATGGAAATTCTAGAAATGAAAACTATAATAAATTAAGATCTCAGTAGATAAATTTGATAGCAGATGAGACACCGCTGAAGAGAGAATTAGTGAAGAGGACAGTAAGTCAGGAGAAGATCTATCGAGATAAACAGACCCAAAGTTGGTTTTTTGAATGGAGTAGTCAAATTGATAATAACCTCCTGGTGGACTGATCAAAAATCAGAGAGGAGGGCTGGGGATTTAGCTCAGTGGTTCCGCCGCCTGCCTTTCAAGCACAAGGTCCTGAGTTTGATCCCCAGTACCAAAACAAAAAAAGAAAAAATGAAAGAGGAAATACAGATCATCGTTTGTTTTGTGTGTGTGTGTGTGTTTGTTTTGTGTGTGTGTGTGTGTTTGTTTTTGTTTCTCACTATATAGTTCTTTTTTTTGTTGTTGTTACCGGGGATCAAACTCCAGTCCTTGTGCTTACACAGCAGGCAGTGAAACCACTGAGCTACATCCCCGGCCCCTCTCACTATATAGTTCAGCCTGACCTCGAACTCACGGTGATCTTCCTGCCTCAGTGTCCCAAGTGCTGGGATTTCAGGCATGTGCTACCACACCCAGCTTACAGATTGTTTCTTAATGAAATAAAAAGAATAAAATTTACCTGTATTTTTATCACCCTAGAATAACACCATTAATATTTGTGTATATTTCATTCTGGATATGTAATGTAGGCAAATGAGTCTGTGTGTGTGTGTGTGTGTGTGTGTGTGTGTGTGTGTGTGTGTGTGTGTTTTAAGAAGGGAGGAGGGCCGGGGATTTGGCTCAGTGGTTTCGCTGCCTGCTGCGCAAGCCCAAGGACCTGAGTTCGATCCCTGGTACCAAAAAAAAAAAAAGAAGGGAGATCTGTGTTAGCTTTTCTTCACTATAACAATTGCAGGAGATAAATTACAAGAAAGAAAGTTAATTGTGGCTCCAAGCTTCAGAGGCCTTAGTCCATGATCAGTCAGCCCCGTTGCTTCTGGGCCTGCAGCACATTGCCCCATGGAGCTTTGAGGGACACCTAAGATTCAGACTATAGCAATATGTCACCTCAGTGCTTAGGAAGCCCCTAGTAGGAACCCAGGGGGAGAAAGGCTTTCTCGGGAATAGTGGCTTCATCTTCAGAGTGCCAAGTTGAGAGTCCAGGCAGAGGTGCTGATGCGCACGCCCTCCACGTGCTGTGGGCCGTACTGCCGGGTGGTCTCCGCAAAGGCCAGACGCGAGTAGCTGATGTACACACTGACCCCTGCCAGGGTCAGGGCACCTGGGGAGACAGGGGGCAGGGAAGCCACTCCCAGGGGTCCTGCAGACAGCCTTGGGGTCCCCATGGAGGCAGCTTCCCACCCTGTGCCCCCTCCTGGTCAGCCCTGGTGTCCCCCTGGCCCTTCCAGACACCTCCTTGTCCCTGGGGTCAGGGAGATGGCGGCGCTGAGGTTTGGGAGGCTCACCCCACAGTCCCCTTTGCAAACAGCTCCACCTGTGCCCCCAACACAACTGGGCAGCAGCAGCAGTGATGGATTTAATTTGGGGAATGGAGAGGCAGGGAGAAGAGGCACCTTGCATAGGACCACCTTGGCCCTCAGGGGTCCTCAGGGACTGAGGGGCAGGCAGGTGGCACGCCCTCCCTGCAGGTCCTCTCCAGCTCCAGCTGCCTCCATCGACCCGAGCAGAAAGGCGCAGAGTAAACCCCTAAGCCAGGAGCCCCTTCCACACCCCTCAACTCTCCTGGGGGACGGGGACCCAGGCTAAGCTCACAGCAACCCCTTTCCCACCCAGCTCTCCTGAAGTACATTTCCAGGGCGGGCTCTGCAGCCTGCTGGACAACCTCAGTGGGTGTGTCCCTCCAGGCCCTGCCACCCCATGTATCCCTCACGATCCCTCCCGTCTCAGGGAAGGACCCCACCCGTCCCCTCCCCCTTCTTACAGCACTGAGAGGGTGAGCTGGCCTCGGCCAGGTCCCTCTGGTGTGACTTCGCTGACCAAGCCCTCTGCCCCTCTGTCCACAGCAGACCCTCAGCACTGCAAGCCCAGCGCAGGGCCCACCAGGGCCTTCGAGTGGCTCCTGAGAGGGATGTGCACCCTGCCTAGGCCCTGAGCAAGGGGGCTGGGGGCGTCCCTCAGGCCAGCTGACCCCCAGGTCCTTACCCGCTCCAGTCTCCTCCACCCCCGACCCTGGCCGGGCCACTGGAGCCCTGCAGGCCTCCCCAGCAGCTCCCTCCAGCCCTTTGCCCCACTCAGCACCTTTGCCTCAAGCACAGTGCGGAGGCTTCCTGTCACCATGAGGTTTCCTGGTTACAATGCCAACCCAATTACTCCTCTTGGTGGCTCCCCAAGGTCCTCTTAACTGGATTTTGGACTCTCGAAGTCTCCCAGATCAGGTTGAGAGTGGACACTGATCGCGCCTGATCTCATGCTCCAGAGGAGACCCTGACTTCATGTTGGGATCATAAGCAAGCCTACGCGTCCCCAGTCTTGGCTCCCGGGCCAGCATGCCCCTCCTCTCAGAGGTCTCCCAAAGGGCCCAGCATTCATTCCCTGGGGAGGGACGCAGCCCTGCCCAGGGGGAGGCCCCAGCCCTGGTGGTCACGAGAGAAGAGCTGTTCTGAGACACCAGACCCAGCTCAGGCCTGGCCCCAAATGTCAGGGGCCACGGGGACTGACCCTTGGGGGACACCGGCCCACTTCAGGGAGAGTGCAGGGAACTGGGTGGCTGGGCTGACAGTGCCTGGCAGTGGAGGGGACCCAGGACAAACGCCCATCTGGCCTTGGAGAATCTGAAGTGCTCAGAGGCTCAAACTTCTCACCTGTGAAGGTGGCGCTGCAGAGCCCCTGGGGACACAGACCAGGCCGGCACAGTTGGCCGCTGTACTACGCGAGTCACAGCCTCCTGGCTGGGGACACTGTCAAGGACTCTGACGCCCTCCCCTCCATGCCCCCACACCTCCCAGGACAGTCCAGGAACAAGAGAAGAGAGGCTGGGGCTGCACTCATGCCCCTCAGGGCCACCCAGCCAGCAGAGCAGGTTCTAGACTCACTATGGAGATCCTCCGGCCTCCCAAGTCAAAAGGTCCAGCCTGGCACTCCTGGGTCCAGGCCCAGCCAGAGGCATTGCTGCTAGAAAGGCCAGGGACCCAGGGTCCCTCTGTCCCCAGGAGGTACTTCTGTCCCCAGGGCACCACTATCCCAAGGGGCACCTCTAGCCCCAGGAGACCCAGGCTCAGTGTAGCCCAAGCGGAGCAGAGCGTGTGAGCCAGGGGTGCAGGAGAAGCAGGGCCCCACTCCCAGGATCCCCCAGCACCCCAGACTCAGCCCCCAGCAAGAAGTAGCAGCTGGTGAGGAGCAGCAGAGGGATGCTCTGGGCCAGGGAGCTGAGCAGGCCACAGACCCAGCCACACACAACGAGGACCAAGCTCAGGAGCAGGACCACCATGACAGTGCGGTGCAGTGCTGCAGAAGAGGGGCCTCAGGTGCAGGTGGACAGGACCCCTGCCCCCAAGGGTGGGAGCAAGCCTGATGCTCCACCTGCTCAGGCCAAGGAGGATGGGGGGTGGGGTGTGTGAGAGAGAGAGAGAGAGAGAGAGAGAGAGAGAGGCCCTGTCACCATGGTAACCACCAGACCCTCCCTGTGGCCACCTCTGGTGTAGCATAGGCTTCCTGAGGCAAGGATGAGGGAGCTTCCCCAGTGCCCTCCCCACCCCACCCGCAGGCCTCCCTGGGACAGCAGTCACATGGCCACCAACCCTCTAGGTGGGCCATTACCAATGAAAGGGAAATGAGGCACGGGAATGCCAGGATAGGCTGGGAGTCAGTGGGGCACCCGTGGTCAGGACCCAACAGCAGAGCAGAGAGGAGCTACAGGTGGACATGTCCTCTGGGAATCACAGGGCCACAGGAAGTGGTTCTGTGGGGCTGGGGTGGGGTGGCTCAGGTCCCAGCCCTGCCTGAAGAGTCAGGAAGGATGAGGAGGAGGTGTGGCCCCAGGACTCACAGAGGAGCCGCTGCACCGAGGGGAAGGCGTCCAGGCCCTCACTGGCGAAAGGGTTGATGAGGGGGACACAGCTGTTCTGCCCTGCAAAGCCAAAGTGCGAAGCAGAGGCTGGATGCCAGGGCCCCCCGCAGCCCCAGAGCCACAGGGGCACGGAGAAGCCATGGGCCCTGCGGACTCAGGCTCAGGCCTCCAAATGGCATCAGAGGCCCAAGACCTCTCATTTGGTTGGAGGTGCATTTACAAGCTCAGGGATTCTAGAGGCTCCCCCGGGGATGCTCTGGGGTCCCCATAACACTCTCATAGAGAGGCCAGTCTTGGCCTTCATACCAAAAAGGGGCACAAAGTGGGCTTGCCTGGAAGGCTCAGCCCCGAGAACCTTCCAGACTCACACTGTGTGAGCTTTCGGATTCACACACATGCACACCCATCTATGCACATGCGTGTGTGCACACACCTCAGGAGGCGCTGGTGAACAGCCAAGTCTTTCCACCACTGTACACTCGCTGTGCACAGGTGGCACTCACAATCACAGGCTCTCACACACACTCTCGTGCTCATGTACTCACACATCAGCCTATGCTCACACACTCCACACTCACTCACACACACCTCCACATGTGGACTCACACTCACACATATCACACACTCACACAGCTCCTGGTGACCCGGGCAGGTGGGAGGGAGCTGGGGCTGGGTGGTAATGAGGGAAAACCACCCTGGGTCACCGGGATGAAGGTCGGGGCCCCACGCCGCCCACCTGAACCCCACAGACCCCCTGCTGCGCCCGAGCAGAGCAGCCCGTGGCAGGAACAGAGACGCCCGGGAGCTGGGCAGCACCACACACACCTTCCCCGGGAGGTCTGTTTCTCCCCTTCTGATGCTGCCCCTTGGGGGTTAAGTGAGGGACAAGGTCCCCAGTTACCCGCTGTGAGTGGCAGGGCGCCCTGGTCTGGGGTTAGCCCCACCCCACCCCGCGATGCGCTGTCGGGCTTCTGCACAGGGCTGGTGGGCCCGCCCCTCCCCCCTCCCCCCTCCCCCGTCCGCCCAGTCCCCCCAGCAGTTGAGTGGGGAGGCGCACTGGGGAAGGGGCCGACACCAGAGGGCGAACCCAGGTGGGGCAGGACTCCGGGAGGAAGGGCCTGGGGGAGGCCCTCCCCCACCTTCCTCGCCTCCCTCACCTTCGCTGGTGAGTCAGAGGCCGGAGTGCGAGGACAGCCGCTCAGCGCCGCCGCCGCGCTCGCCGGTGTCCGGTGTCCGCCACCTCCCGGAGGTACCAGAAGTCGCTGGCGACCGCGGCGGCCAGCAGCGCGAAGCTGAGCAGCGCGCCCAGGCCCGCGGCCAGGAACAAGGCGCCCAGCCGCGGGGGCTGGGGGCGCGGGGCGGGGCGGGGCGCGCCGGGCAGGGCAGGGGGAGGGCAAGTCGGCGGGGTCCCGAGAGCCGCGGAGAGGGCCGGGAATGCAGGGAGCCAGGAGGCCGGGAGATGCTGGGTCGCAGGGGCTGGAGGGCGCAGCAGAGTGGGGGATGGCCATGGGTCGGGGAGCGTAGGGAGCGGGAGCCAGAGAGCGCGGCTGGAGCGGAGTTTGGGCAGTCGGGAGCCGCGGGGGTCGGCTCCGGCTCCGGCTCCAAGGAGCGAGGAGGCTGGGCTCAGAGCAGGGGTCGCCTGGAGACCCAGGGTCGGGAGTGGAGGGGAGAGGCAGCGCCAGCGGCTGGGGCAGGCTGGGGAGGCGCGGCGGCTGGAGGCTCTGCGCACGGCCCCAGACTTCTGCGCAGGGCTGGGCGCGCGGTGCCCCGGGGGTCGCAGGAGGATCGATGCCACCTGAGAAAGAAGGAAAGAAGTCTCGGACCCTCAGGCAGCAGAGGAGCTGCAGGCCTGGGTTCAAACCCTGGCGTCCCCAGAGCTGGTCACAGATCCCTGGTTAGTTTCTGATCTCCCTAAACCTCTGCTTTTCCGCAAACAGTGCCTGCCTGGCTGGGCTGCGCAGAGCTTGAGGATGGTGAAGGGTGAGCTGAGACTGGCCCGGGAAGAAGCCCCGCCACTGCTGACCACACTGGGGAAGCACGGGGAGGGGAGGCAGACCAGCCTCAGGCGGCAGTGGCTGCTGGCTGGCCCCGGATCCTGGCCTTAATCAGGCTGGATCAGTGGAGTGTGGCAGGGTTGGGGCTGTAGAAGGAAAGTGTTACTTCAGACTGGGCTTTCTTTTCTTTTCTTTTCTTGGCACCGGGAATTGAATCCTGGGGTGCTCTAACACTGAGTTGCATCCCCAGCCCTTTTTATTTGGAGACAGGGTTGCTAAGTTGCCCGGCTGGCCTTGAACTTGCCTTCCTCCCCCCTCTGCCTCTGAGTAGCTGGGATCACAGGTGTATGGCACATCTGGCCAGATTATTTCATAATCACAAATGCCACATCTGGCCAGCCAGTGGACCTGTCCAGCCACTCAGCATGCATAAGGCACCTGCTAGGACAGGTATCTGGAGCACTGGGCACGGAGGCAGAAGAGCCAGAGGCCCCATCAGGTGTGGGCTCTGATGAGGAGCTGTGCTTGGCTGTGCTGGGCAGCCGCCACCGGGAGGCTTCCTGAGTAGTCCCTGGCTGGCTGGAGTCTGCAGAGAGCATGGAGGTCTGACGGCCTCAGACTGTGGTCTTCAGTGCAGCAGCTTCCTTACAGCTGACCCAAGCCTCTCAGAGAATGTTTGGGCCAGTTTTTCTCTGCTAGGCTCTGGTTGGTTTGAGGTACATAGTGATTAAGTAAAAGCAATCCTGTTATTGAAACAGTATTTCACATGGAATGCAGACAGAACAGCATAGAGCTATTTGGTATTTCATAGGCTGCTCATCTTTCTGCACACTGCAGCAGACTGTCTGCAAGCTGTGTCAGTGGAGGTGCCCACTGTGCCTGCCTGCGTCCTTCAGCTGGCACTGCCCTGCCCACACCCCTGCTCTGGGAGCCCATGACAGCCATGAGCCCACTGGGCCTAAAGGTAGGATTCACAGGGTGCTTGGGGAGCTGCAGGGCCTTCCTGGCCCCAAACTCTGATTAAAGCTGGGGAGAGAACCACAAACTCTGAAAAGTTGAGTTCATTCTTAGTAGTTCCTCCACAGTAAAGCAATATAAAAGGGTCAGTATTGCTTTGTTTGGGTTGATGCCTCCTCTTGTGTGTGTCTAAGGTCCAAACTGGTGAGAGAGGAGAATCATGAGTTCAAGGCCAGCCTGGGCTACATAGAGTTCAAGGCAAACCTTGAATACGCAGCAAGACTGTCTCAAACAGAACAAAACAAAGTAGATGTGAATTGGCCACCTCAAAGGGAAAATTAGAAGTCTGTTTGGACTCTCCAGTAAGCTCCCTCCCCTTGAGCTGAGCTGGTTTGAAAGGGTTTTTTGGGGGAGGGGTTTTGTTTTTTTAGTCTTTTGCAGTACCAGGGATTGAACCACACAAGGGATGCACCACTGAGCTACATTCCCAGCTCTACTCTGAGGCAGAGTCTAAGTTGCCAAGGGTGGCCTTGAACTTGTAATGTTCTTGCCTCAGCCTCCAAGTAGCCAGCATTATAGGTGTGCACCACTGCTCTCAGCTTGGATTTCTGTAATCGCACCCACTGCCGCTTAAGTGGGACAGGATACAGCTGTCAGAGCCAACGCCAACCACTGGGACCTCAAGGCCACCGCTACCCAGAGGGAGGTTTCAGCAAGAGGCATCTGACCCACACATCTCTAGAGAAGGGAGGGATGCCTATTTCCTCAGGCCAGCTTAATCCAGCCACGCTTTCAAGCCTGGGTTCTGTGTTTAAAACCAGATGTGCAGCTGGAGCCACTTACTGTTCCTTAGGCAGCAGAGGGGCTGTCTGATGAATTCTGCCAGTGTACTTCCTTTGAGATGGACCCATATTGCATCAGCCCAGTCTGAAGAGGTACTGCTTTAGCATCACCCTTATCTCATTATCCACCCTGCTTTCATTGGCCTGGCTTCTGCACTGAGAGGACCCTAAACCTTCTGGCTGGCAGAGCTGCTTCAAAGCCAGCGTGAGACCACTGCTGAAATTGGGGGCAGGATTGGGCTTCCGGTGGGAGACATTCCGATTTTACATGACAAAAATAAGGCTGCATCCAAGTCTCTGTTTTCAAGCCCACGTTTAACTACTTCCTGTCAGTGGCTGAGGGCAGGAGGCTGGCTCCGGGGATGGCCATCTGGCCGACAAGCGTTGGGGCCCAGGCTGATGACAGTGGCTGCTGCCTCCAACACAAACACAGGATGGAGGAAGTAGCTGGAACTGTGGGCTAAATTACTCTCTGGGCAGCTACTAATTTCACTGCACCTGGCCACTGTTCTCCAATAGAAAATGAACCTCACTAAACTACCACCCCAACAGGTCAATTCATCCCCTCAGGCGCTTCACAAAGCTAGTGTATACTGGCAGGTGCAAGGCGCTGGTCTTGCCAGAAGCTGCTATCTGAAATGGTTTTCGAATGGTAGGGGTGGTAGGCTGGAACACACGCTGTCTCGTTTTACAGGGACAGCCAGTATGCTCTGGGAAACAAGGCTGTGACAAGAGGTAGTCAAATCGAGGGTAGTAGCATTGCAGGCAGAATCTGCAGGTCTGTAAGGTTGGGCACAGCTGCCCTGGCTCCCCACACCTGTCAGGGAAGCAGGGAGGCCTCAATGCTGTGTCCTTCCCCTAGCCCAGAGCACACACTGCCTGAGTACCTGTTCCTGCCCAGTCTTCCTACTAGGGCTACAGAAGTGTCTGCAATTCCTTTTCTTGTTGCCACTCAAGGCAGTTATTCCACCTCCTCAGTAACTCCTGTGCACACAAACCCAGCTTAGGACTATTGTTTTTTGGGGGGTTTTTTGGTACCGGGGATTGAACTCGGGTCCTTGCGCTTTCGAGGCAGGCGGCAGAACCACTGAGCTAAATCCCCAGCCCTGGGCCTAACTATTGTTGGCCTTTATCCCCCACCTTTCAAAAAAGGAGAAAGCCCAGCAGGGTGGTGCACCGCTGTAATCCCAGCATGTGGGCGTCTGAGGCCAGAGGATCACTGTGAGTTCAAGGGCAGCCTGAGCTATTTAGTGAGACCCTTTCTCAAAAAAAAAAAAAAAAAAGAAAGAAAAGGAAACTGGGCTCCATGCAGGGGATGTCTCTCAGGGTTTAATTCCTGGGTGTGACACCTGACTTTCAGAGATATCAGAGCAAATGAATAGATAAATGTCACAACTGTGGGATTAGCTGGAGCAGCCCTGAAGGCCAAGCCCCCCAGGATGGCCCCACCTACCTGAAGACACACAAGTATAGCAGGCAGAGCCAAGCAGGGACCTGCAGCTCAGCTGGTTCTCTGCCTGGTTCAGATTTACCCACACCAGACAGGAAGTCCTTCGTGGCGGCAAGACTCTCAGGGGAGACTGGCTGCCTGACTTGCTGGTTCTCGGCCTGGACCTTGGACATCTAGATGTTGTCCTGTGACTGTCCTGGGGGAAGAGGGAAAGGAAACCCCAAACTCACTGCACTATCTTTGTAACTTCCTGTACTTTTCAGCAATACTGGGGATTGAGCCCAAGGCCTCTACACTGAGCTATATCCCCAGCTCTTTATTTTCTTGAGACAGGGCCTCACTAAGTTGCTAACTTGGTCAGGATGGGCTTGAACTGCCTCAGCCTCCAAAGTGCTAGGGCTATGGGCATGCAACACCACGCCCAGCCTTGGAGAGCCAGGTCTCAGTTCCATCAGTGAGAGATTTCTGTCAAATAAAGCCAGCTGAAAATGGGACCCTGTGGCTAGTGCTCCTTCCCCGGAGTTGGGGATTGGACCTCAGTCACACCCAAGCCTGGGCAGTGTCATAGAGCCCTAAGGGTCTGCCTCTGGGACCAGACCACCTAGGTTTGAATCTCAGCCTTAACCATCACTAGCTGTAGACTCCAGGACAACCCCCCACCCCTACCCCAAGTGCTGGGGAATGGACCCAGGGCCTCACATGTGCTAGGCAAGTGCTCTGCCACTGAACTACTCCCGAACCCACTGGGTTTTTGTTTTGAGACAGGGTTTCTTGTATATCCCACACTGAACTTGAACTTACTATGGAGCCCCAGCTGAACTCAAGATCCTCCTGCCTCAGCCTCCAGGATGCTGGGATTATAGGCATGTTCCACCACACCTGGCTCTGTTGTTTAAGTGGGCACAAACCAGCAGAGTGGTCAGACCCTGCAGGATGCCTACCCACTGAGTGATGGCAGCTCTGTACTCCGTCTCTCTCAGCCTGCCCAGGCTGTTTTCCCTGGAGACAGTGGAGGGTGCTGATTCCCAGGCTGGCCGGTCAGGCTGCACCCTGCTGTCAGAATCCAGCCCGGAAGCTTTCAAAGTGGCCTCCCAGCCCACAGCCGGCATGTTCCCAGACACCATCTGGACTTACGGCCTAGGAGGGACACATACTTGGGAGCTGAGACAGCTGCCCTCAGATAAAGGCCTGAGGCTTTATTAACAGGTGTTGATTGAGCTTTCAGACATTGGTGGCCACTGAGGTCTGGTGACAAACCTTCTTCAGAAAGCAAGTTTCCTGCGGAGGGAACATGCTTGGTAAGGTTCCAGCAGAGACGGCGGGCTTAGCAGCAGCCCACACAAACCAACAAAGGCAAAGGCGGAAGCCTGCATGGCTGCCAGGAGAGAAGGAACAGGTCGAAACACTGTATTCCTTGGCTGCTTACCAAGCCAATTCGTAAGGACCTGCATTAAGGTGCCCTTCTACAGATGGACACACATTTCAAAAGCAAGCGGCGAGGTGAGCATACAGGCCGAGGGCTTTTCTTCTCCTATCAAAAGTTGCTGCAATCATCTCCATGCTTACAGGGGGAGGCACTGCACTGAGATGGGACAGCGCTATGTCCAGCTGAGATGCACTTTGCAGGGGCTCCAGTGGCCCTTGTGGAGGAGCCCAGGCCGCCTGCTTCTCTGCCAGGACACCCCCTCACCGGCCACTGCTGGCAGGCTAAGAAGGGTCACCACCAAAAGCCCAGTGGGGTCTGCAGCCTGGTTAGAAACGACCCCCGAGATGACCTGTGTAGCCTGGCAGCCAGTGAAAGCCAATCTGTCATCTCAGCATCAGGCTTCCCGGTGCAGCAGCCAGGCAAGGCCACGGCACTAAGCCAAGTGATTTAGAAAGGATTCAGGCCACTGCACTCTTGTCAGGCAGAAATACTAGCATGTGCCCTGGACTCCCTCAGCCGTTTCCCGGGCAGCAGCTTCAGAATGGACTTCTTGGCATCGCCTGCTGTCTGGTCTCGTCCCCAGAGCCACGCACAGGGCCCCACAGTCTCCCCAAGGGTTTAGGAGGCTTTGTGATTAATTGTACTTTGTGCTGTTCTGTGAAACAATAATTCAAACAAAATAAGAAAACCACATTGTGAACATTGGGGGTGGGGGGTTAGTCTCAATTCTCCTCATCACAAAAAAATCATGTCTCTATAAAAAAGAGAAGAAAAAGAAAAAAGAAAAGGTGGGCTGGGGATTTAGCTCAGTGGTTTCGTCGCCTGCTGCGCAAGCGCAAGGACCCGAGGTTCGATCCCCGGTACCATAAAAAAAGAAAAGAAAAGGTAAGGGAAGTAGCGTGGGTGACAGATGAGGAAATCGCACTTCTGAGCAGCCAGCCAAGGCCAGAAGGCCAGCACCATGTTAAGGGGTTACTGAGCCAGGATGAGAGGGGCCCTAGCAGCCTTTTTACCACTGCCCTTCAAACTCTGCTCAGTCCGTGCTGGGGCTGAAACCCAAATGTAACCAGGCGCGGTGGTGCACACCTGTAATCCCAGCACTCAGGAGGTGAGAAAGGAGCATCAACATGGGTGTGAGGCCAGTGTGGGCTACACAGTGAGCTCAGGCCCAGCCTGAACTACACAGCAAGACCCTACCTCAAAGAAATAAATTAAAATTAAAAACAAACTGGCTGGGGATTTAGCTCAGTGGTTTTGCCGCCTGCTGCACAAGCGCAAGGACCCGAGTTCGATCTCCGGTACCAAAAAACTAAAATAAAATGTCACTAAATTTATGATCCTGATAAACAATATAAACACTTATTTAAAAGTCAAACAAAATCAGTTTCCTCCAAAGAGAAAGGTCTTCTAGTCTATTTTTTAAATTAATTTATTCCATTGCCCTCTGTCAGGAAGCTCATGTCAGAAAGGCAGGTGAGCTGCTGGCAGCTGAGTGGGTTTACAGAGCGCTGGAGACATGGAGACCAGAAGCCTTGATGGGCAGTTAGCCCTCCTCCCCAGGCCCGGTCACAGGGACACTGCCCTCCTCCTTACCCACTCCTCACCTGCCAATAAGTCCAGGGTTTAACAGAGCAAAAGCTACCAAAGAAAAAGACGCAGCCACCGTGATGATCAGCAGCACCTGCCGCTCAGGTAAAAGAGCTGCTGGCACTACTTCCAAGAGAAAATGAAAATTAGCTTAAATACTCAGTTTCAAAACTTTGATGCTCTCCTTTCCTGGGGAACGTGCCTTGGCCCCGATGCATCACTCCAGTACCAGTGAGCACAGCAAGGATTCACTCCAAGGCAGGCAGCTGCTCCATGGCACAGCGGACTTTCGATGCAGTTTCTTCAAATTCTTTCTGCTTGCTGTTGGTTTCCTTTGCCTGGAATAATGAATGAACACGTTTGGGCTGGGGGTGTGGCTCAGTGGTAGAAAACTTGCCTAGCATGCACAAGACCCTGGGTTCAATCCCCAGCACCACAAAAAAAAAAGAGAAAAGATAAAGTACAGATACAGTCACAGGAAACAAGCACATGTAAATCATACCCCGCAGATAAAATAAAGAGGGAACATGGGCTGGGGATTTAGCTCAATGGTACCACGCCTGCCTCAAAAGCGCAAGGTCCTGAGTTCAATCCCCAGTACTGGGGGAAGAAAAAGGGAACACTTATGAGAACCTAAATATAAACTGGGCACCGTGCCAGGGGAGATATCCAGCAATATGGAGGCAAACATCTGGATCCAACTCAAGTACCTCCAGTTTAAGCTACTTTCTGAGAATTTAATAAACAAAAACACCACAGGATGCTTTGTGTGCGCCTGTACCATGGAACCCTGTACCTTTGAACTGATCTATTGCTCACACCACCCCTCACCCTCCAAGGGGCAGGTACTGTACAGAGGCTCAGGACAACCAGCTAGTCTGGGACACAGCTCTGCTCTCAAGCACCCCACTTTGATCCTGCAATTTCTACAGGCGAAGGTCAGAGCCTCCCTCCTCATCCAACTAAACAGATCCTATCAAGTACCAGCTGGCACCTAAGACAGGAATATGCCTTTCACTTCCAGGCCCTCCCCAAATCTGGCTTGTAACCTCTGCACTCTGCTAGAGGCACCCCGCCCAAAGGGGCGAGCAACAGCATGTCAGCAAGCCTGAGATGCCCCTCACCTTTACTCTCCTTAATTTATGATTAAAAAGAGCGACACACCAGGTACAGTGGGACACAGGTAAAATCCAAGCTACTCCAAGGGTTAGGAAGAAGGGTCACAAGTTTGAACCCAGTCTGAACAACTTAGTGAGACCCTGTCTCAAAATTTAAGAAAAGGGCTAGGGATATAGCTCAGTGGTAAAATGCTTGCCTAGATGTACAAGGCCCTGGGTTCAATCTCCACTATTACAAAAAAAAAAAAAAGAAAGAAAGAAAACAACAAAACCCAAACCTTTATTCGGTTAAACTTTTCAAACAAGAAAAGTGATTAGAGGCTAACTTTTTAAAAGTTTTTGTTTTTTGGTTTTGTTCTGCTGTGCTATGGACTGAACCCAGAGCCTCACACACACTATCAACGAGCTACACTCCCAGGCTCCCAAGAGGTCCTCTTTTTGGAAACAGGGTCTTGCTATGTAGTTCAGGAGTTCAGGCTGGCTTGAATTCACCGTGTAGCCCAGGGTGACCTCAAACTTGAGTGATCCTCCTGTCTCTGCCTCCCGAGTGCTGTGATTACAGGCCTGTGCCACCACTCCCAGCAAGTTACTTTTTTTTTTTTCTCTAGTACCGGGGATCAAACTCAGGGCCTTGTGCTTGCAAGGCAAGAGTGGCACCACTGAGATAAATCCCTGGCCCCAGCAAGTTACTTCTCAACTTGTACTTTTTCTGGATCTTAACTTCTGACCCATGTATAATTCTTACTTAGTTTATAATTATTAACTAAAAGGAAAATTGTATTTAAAAATAATAAGTTAGAAAATCGGAAGCTTTGACAATACCTTGTCCATCTTGTAACAAGCAACTGCACAGGCCTTAAAGGTCTCTGCCTTTACTGACAGGCAGCGATGACCATGGCCTTGCAACACACAGACTTGATCTGCTTTTCTTCCACTTCCAAAATACCCTTAAATGAACCAAGCCTCATTGTACATACTGTAACTTCACTACCCAGTCATAGTAGAGGTCATTATCTCCATCTTACATGTTTCCTAATAGGACCTGAACGAAAACAAGAAATCTCACTATTGAAAACAACACTCCTGCCACCCAGGGTTCTGCCAGACTCCACTTTCCCCTCATCACAGGTTTTTACAAACGAAGTCCTTTTTTTTTTTTTTTTTCAGTTGTTGGTATTTTGAGACAAGGTCTCACTCTGTAATTCAGGTTGGCCTTGAACTCATGCCAATCCTCCTGCCTCAGCTACCCTGGTGCTAAGATTATAGGCATGGGCCACCACACTCGGCACAAACTACATCTTAGGAATAGGAAGTACCTATTTATCCTTAAGTTGAGTTGATTCCCTAAATAGATTTATTTTCACATTGGCTCTAATTTATTTCATTGTTTCAGAACCTAGAGAGCTGAGAGGAAGCAGCAGAAATAAGAATCAGAGTGCTGGCCAGTGTGTGCGAGGACCTGGGTTCAATCCCCAGCACCACCAGAAAAAAAAAGAATCAGCATCCCAGGCATCCCAGGCAGGGCAGGTTCCACTTTCTCCACAGCGCCTTCCTGGAAAGCTCCTGGCCTTGAACCCGGGACTGCAGAAATCTGCAGCAGCATGACCTGCAGTGTCCTCTCCATGCACATAAATATTTTATTCGTGAAGAGGTTTTTTGTTTGTTGTTTTGAGGCACTGGGGGTTGAACCAGGAGCCTTGTGCATGCTAGGCAAGCAGTCTACCACTGGGCCACACCCCAGCCCCTATCTGGTTCCTTCTGAAAGAAGGCATAATGCATAACTACCGTTTTAACCTGAGCTGCAGCATCATGGGCTTAATAGTCCAAGACAACAAACAGCTTCCAACCTTCATCATCCCTCCTACAGAGGTGCCAGGCACCTCCACAAGTGACAGTCCTCTCGAGAGGGAGACACCCGGTGCTGTGACAAAGCAGATGGCTCCTGTCACACCCAATCCCTACACCACAGCTCCCATCCACCCTCACCTTCCCTCACATGGAAAAGCTCGGGGAACAGGTTCCATGTTAGTTACAAATTATTTACCACAAACCTCACAATTCTGTTTGTCTTTGAGACAGGGTCTCACTATGTAGCCCAGGCTGGCCTTGAACTCACAGGGCAGTGCTGGGATTACAGGCATGCACCACCACACTGGCTACACCTCACAACTAATTGATCAGTGCTCTGGAGCAGCCCTGTCCAGCAGGACTTTTTGCAATGACAAAAACATTCCATTCCTTGTATGGTCCTGTATGGCGGCTGCTTGGCATGTGTAACTATTGCGCATTTCACACGTGGCTCGTGCAACTGAAAGAACTGAATTTTAAATTTATTTAGCTGGATAGCCACAGATGGCTAACACCCACAGTACTAGACCTCTAGACCATCACAGCAAAATAGTTGAGTGTCACTGGCTTAGCAAAGATTTTTTTATTATGTAAGTTTATAATCCAAGAAGAAATGTATGAGCAGCTTCAAACTCATCTAGTTTCCCTAACCCTTTCCCTACAGGCAGTTCAGTCTCCTCTCACACTGCCTTCACTTGGTAACCAGGCAACCCTGATGCGCAAATGCAACAACCTGACTCCCTCCGCCTCCCCGGGACCCTGGCCCATCTGCTCCCCCGTGCCCAGGACGTCCTCCCTGACTGCTCCAGCAACAAGCTGCTCTCCCCACAACACTCGGCACACCAGGGCCTGCCGGCAGTCTGGCCAGCCTGTTATGTACAGCGTGGGCTAAGCATGGTACCTCTTCTTCTCCTTTATTTGTGGTATTGGTGATTGAACCCAGGGCCTTAGCATTGAGCTACATCCCCCACCCTTGCTTTATTTTTTATTTTGAGAAAGGGTCTTGTTGCTAAATTGCCCAGGCTGTGCTTGAACTTGTGATCTTCCTGCCTTAGCCTCCCAGAGTGCCAGCACCACAGGTGTGCAGCACCACACAGCTGGTTCTTCTATTTTTTTTGTTGTTGTTGTACTGGGGATCAAGCGATGAACTTTGCGCCTGCAAGGCAGGCAGAACCACTGAGCTAAATCCCCGGCCCTGGTTCTTCTATTTTTAAGTGGTTATGAAAGCTGTGAATGGTGGCACGTACCTGTAATCCCAGCACTTGGAAGGCTGAGGCAGGAGGATCACCGTGAGTTTGAGGCCAGCCCGGGATACATAGTGAGTTTAAAGCCAGCCTGAACTATATAGTGAAATCCTGTCTCAAAAACTCAAAGAATAAAAAAAATTTTTTAAAGATGGTTATGAAAAAAAAACTAGTAAGAACATGTAACAGGGACTGTGCAGGTGTGAAGGCTGGCACTCACTCTCCAGGGCACTTTGCAGAGAAGATGCTGGCCCTAGGCTGAATGAAGGGCCCCTCTGCGCCTTCCTGCAGTTCCTGAGTTCCTGAGCTCCACCACTTCAGGGCACTGTCCCACAGCACTCCTTAGCAACCACTGATTCCCTCCTGCTTCCCGATAATAAACACCTGTCCTCAGCATTTAAAAGCTATTTTGGACAGAATTGCTTCACACTCATCTCAACGAAGGAACACAATTTTCAAGCTGAAAAGGGCCCTCAGTAGCCATTATGGTGGCAGCAGTGGGGGCTCCCAGCCTCCACCCCGAAGCAAAGAGAATGCGACATGAGCTGCCTCACAGTCTGTGCAGTACAGACGGAGCAGGGACATCTCACAAACCCCACCCGTGCTTTGCTACAAGGACGACATTACCCCCAGACACACCTCATCCCCTATATGGCTGCCAAATTTAGCAAAAAGAATACAAGTCGCCCAGTTAAATTTGAACTTCCAATAAACACATGTCTTTTAGTAAATACCCATACAGAATGTGGGACATACTTATACTCAAAAACTACTCTTTATTTATCTAAAGTTCAGATTTAACTGGGAGCCCTGGTGTCAGGCAAACCTAACTCTCCACACGAGCTGCTGGAAAGCCACCGCTTTGTGGGTCATGGTGTCACCTTCTGCTCTCCCAACAACCCCATGAAACTAGCTAAGAGGCAAAGCTCAGCTACAGAAACCCCCCAGGTCTGGCTGGCCCATCCCCAAACCCTCTGTCCATGCCACTGCTACCACATGAGCACATAGCCACTGTCACAAGGCAGGAAGTCAATCCTCACCATCATCACAAACCCAGAAGCACCTGAGGGAGAGTGTCCTCCAACTGTACCCGTTAAGATCACACTCCAGGCCAGCGGGGTCTCTCCCTGTGACCCCCAGGGCTCTGAGAGTGCTTCCTGAGGGAACAGTTGGTTTAGTTCCATATGCTGCCCAGGGTTTGCTCTCAGTTCTTATTCCCAATGATACATACAATTTTGTTCTTGGCTCTTTCTTTGTCCAGTTTCAAAAATTCACTGAGAGTTAACTCTTCAAACTGCTTCTTGACAGACAGGAATGCACAGCCAGATGAATGCTTTTTATGTTCCTCTCTAGAAAAATCAATACACAAACATGTCAACAGAACAGTGGTGGTTCATGAGCAGCAGTCTGCTTCCTACCACTCCACCATCCCTCTGGGCATGCTGTGCCGCTTCCAGAGCAAGGTGTCAGGGCCCAAGCGGATGGACCCCGGGCTGTCCACACAGTCTGTCCTCACACCTTCTCGCTCTGTAGACATCTGTCCCATCCTGGGACTAGACTATTTTATCTGAGTCCTTTAGCAAGTGTAGGAAAAGCGTGGTACAGTTGATGTCTAGAGGAATCACATGTCAAGTCCCTCTAAAATCTTCAAGGAACTGTTGCAAGTCATTTCTTTTCTTTTCTTTTTTTTTTTTTTGGTACCAGGGATCAAACTCGGGTCCTTGTGCTTTCGCAGCAGGTGGCGAAACCACTGAGCTAAATCCCCGGCCTGCAAGTAATTTCATTTCACAGAATGCTCACAGAACTCACTGGTTCAGACTAAGATCAAGTTGGCCAGGCTTCCCCAAGGATCCCTCTCCTCCACTTCCTCCTTTGCAGTGGGAATAGTCCTGCATAGTAGAGTCATTATAACCAGCCAGGATTAGAGAATACGGCCACACAAAATCAAAAATGACAGGCAATAACTATACTGAGAAAATACTGTAACACTTAAGAAATCCCCAGCATTTCCCATTGATCACTGGTGTAACCACCAACTCATCCATTCAAGACTTGGTCAGGGGCCAGGGATTTCCGGGGATTTAGCTCAGTGGTTCCACCGCCTGCCTCCCAAGCACAAGGACCTGAGTTCGATCCCTGGTACCAAAAACAAACAAACAAACAAACAAAAAGACTTGGTCAGATAGCAAATATATTAGGGAATAAAACAGCAATGCTCTTCTGGCCAACAAGAGAAACAACTCAAGCGATTTCCTGGGGACAAAAATTAAGGTTGTGGGCCGGGGATTTAGCTCAGTGGTTTCGCTGCCTGCTGCGCAAGCACAAGAACCCGACTACCAAAAAAAAAAAATTAAGGTTGTGTAAGTGATAGATTCTGACAGGAACAAGAGGTGAGAAAACAACATGGAAAGATATTACCAAAAGACAGATAGGGTGGTCTAAATATATAAACAAAATTAAAAAACAGAAACAGGCTGAGTGCAGTAATCCACCTACTTGGAGGCTAAAGCAGGAGGATTCAAAGTTTGAGACCCATCTGGGTAATTTAGTAAGACACTGTCTCAAAATAAAAAACTTAAAGAGGCCAGGGATGCAGCTCAACAGCAGAGCTCTTGGTGAGCATGTACAAGGCCCTGGGTTCTCTCCCCAGCACCAGGCTGGGCATGGTGATGCAAGCCTGTAATTCCAGCCCTTGGGAGGCTGAGGCAGGAGAATCGCTGTGAGTTCCAGGCCAGCCTAGGCTACACAGTAAGTTCATGGCCAGTCTGAACTACAAAGCAAGACCCTGTCTCAACCCCGCCCAAAAAAATCTCTAGCACCACAAAACAAAAAAACCACAGTATCTTGATGAACAAAATTCAAAACAACATTTAAGTGCAACTGTAAAAAGATGATTTTTGGCCAGGGATTTAGCTCAGTGGTTCTGCCGCTTGCCTCACAAGCACAAGGACCCGAATTCAATCCCTGGTACCAAATTAAAAAAAAAACAACAAAAAAAATATATAAAAAAAGATGATTTTTGTAGGATGTGAATTAATCTCAAACAAGCTGTTTTTATTTTTATTTTTATTGTATTTTTTGGTTTTTTAAAATAGGGTCTCACTATGTAGATCAGGCCAGCCTTGAACTCACTATGCAGCCCAGGCTGGCCTCAAACAGCAGTCCTCCTGCCTCAGCCTCCCAAGTGCTAGGCTCACAAGTGTGCGTCACCATGCTCAGCAAAAGCTGCTTTTTAAAAAAAAAAATCCAAAGCAAGAAAAGTACATGGAATTCACAGGCCAGGAGCAGATCCTGTATTCTGTTGATCTGAAAAATATCAAGCACTTTACACTGATGAGCCTTTCTTCAACATCCATCCTGAAGGATGTTTTGGCCAAATTAGATTTATTTTGTGTGTGTGTGTGGTACCCGGGATCCAAACCAGGGGTGCTCTACCACTGAGCTATGTCCCCAGATTTTTTTTTTACTTTGAGACAGGATCTGTCTAAATTGCCCAGGCTGGCATCAAATTTGGAATCCACCTGCCTCAGCCTCCAGAGTAGCTGGGATTACAGGACTGAGCTATTGTGCCCAGCTCAAATTAGATTTAATTAGGTTTCTCATATCACCAAGGCACCAGCTCAAGGAGCCGTATCGGTTTACAACAGCTGTTTACTTCACAAGATGAGGTTAGGAAAGCCATTCCTCCTGCAATAAGCATCTTAGAAATTCAAATCGCTTTCTTCCCAGCCCGGTTCAAACCGAAAGCTTCCGAATGGAATTGAGGCACCCGAAAGACTAGCATCTGGAGGGACTTACATGGGGTTGTCATCTGGCTCCCAGCCTTCCAACTCCTTGAAACAGAAGAAACACTGCGCCAAATCGGGCTCATTCTCAGTAGGGCAGTGGATGAAACCGGCCTCGGCCATCTGCAAAGGACAGCAGTTTGTGAGCAAATGCGGAGGCCCTGGACCCCAGGGCCAGCCGCGAGGGGGTCGGCAGCCTCCGAGATGAGGTAGTTCCGGGACCTGGAGCTGGGACGGAACAGAAGGCCTTCACCGGGACAGTGCGCGGGGAGAGGTAAGGAGAGTGGCCCTGACTGTTCCAGGGCGGGGCGGGGTGACCTATGGCGACGCGGGGGCCCAGACCCTGGGGGCCAAGGACCAAGGGGTCGACAGTCCCCGACAGGGGTAGCTCTGGGGCCGGAGCGGAGCAGGGCGGCCTGGCGGGACGCGGCGGGGCCTGCCTGAGGGGTGGGGGAGAAGCAGGAGGTCTCACCCGTTCCGGAGTGCAGGCGCAGCCCTCCAGAAAGGGCCAGTTCTTGAACGTAGAGACACGGTGGTCCTTGAGATAGAACTGCCACGCCTGGGGCAACGACGGGGTTCCCATTCCGTCGCCGCGGCAGCTACAAAGTAGTTGCGCGATTCAAATCCGCGGGTAGCGGCGCGCCGCGGGGCGTGTCGGGAACGCCCCGCCCCGAGACCCGCCCCCAGCCTTCTGGGAGCGAGCGGCGCGGGGCATGCTGGGAACGCCTCGCCCCGCGCCAGCACCGCGGCTTTCTGGGAGTAGACAGCGCGAGGTGTGCTGGGAATGGCGTTGTGTTCTCCCGGGACCCTCCTCAGAGTGGGCGCGAAAAGAGCTGGAGGATGGGCTGGCGCCTCCGGGGTGATTTCCTGGAGCAGGGGAGCTTATCTGTGTTACCCTCTTTCGTCCTGCAAACTCGCCAAATGGCTCCCTGGTCTTCGACTACCCTGTGCCGGCTGCCCTTCCTGAGCCGCGCAGAGAGAACGTGGGCGCGCACGCATAAAGATGGCCGCTGGATGGGTCCCAGCCTCGCTCAGCTGAGGTCCTAGTGGAGGAAGTGGGGGAGGGCTCTGTGGAGACACTGCACACTGTCCGTCCCGCAGACCCGAGGGTATTGTGGCAGACACATTGCGCTGGGCCTATAGGAAGTAAATGGACTGCTCAGAGACCATCCGCCAGAACTGTAGAAAAGAGAAACCCAGGGGAGCAAGCACCCACCTATGGATGGATAGCCTCGGACCAGAGCAGGCTGTGGGTAATCTCAGGGTAGTTTCTGTACTGAGTTACCCTGATGCAGACGCTTCTGCAGCTTCCAGCTGACCCCTTTGCAGCAGCTCTTCCTACCAGTGCATCTCTTCTGGCTGCAATGGCTTTTTTTTTTTTTTTTTTTTTTTTGGTACTGGGGATCGAACTCGGGAACTTGTGCTTGTGAGGCGGGCACCAGAACCACTGAGCTAAATTCCCAGCCCTGCAATGGCTTCTTGTAAGGAGCCACCTACAGGGAGCAGCAGGCTGTGGAAACAGGGTCCTGTCCGGGGCGCAGTCCTGGTTGGCATGTATTAAGTCCCAGGCGTCTTGGTTTGGGCTCCAGCTCCCCAGGGTTAACCACATGCCAGTCAGCCTCTAGGGTGTGGGCAATCCTGACATGGATTGTGAGATTTGCAGGCCTCCCAAGGAAGGGCCAGGCAGCTGGAGTAGGGGACTTTTTAAGGGCAGAACTGTTTATCAACATATAATATTTTGATATGACAATAACTGTATTGGAGATCCTAACCCAAGATGCCTTGAGTCACACAACCTGCACGGAGCAGAACTGAGAATTCTCAAGCCAGTGCCACAGGTGGTGACCTGGACCTGCACTTCTTGCTCTCCCGTCACCATGTTCAAAAGCAGCACAGACCCGCCCCGTCATCCTGGCTCTGCTACACCCTTCAGCTTCAGTGGGGTCTTAAACACCTTCAGTGTTTATATATACTTCCCGAAAGTATATGCCACTCAACCCCAGCCACATGGGTTGTGAATTTCCAAAAGAAATTTTGTAGTTTCACAGCAAATTCAAATTTTGATCAACATTGTGATGACCAACCAGTTTTGTGATTGCTAGACATCACCTTACTTGAGTCCAATCAAACCTTTTACGAATACATTTCTATTATAAAAGTAACGCATCAACATTACAAAAGGAAGAATTAAATATGTCCTATACATGTACCAACTCCCCACAATGAATGTAATAATTATGTAATGCAAATGTGTGCTAATAAAATTACAAAAGCAAAAATTGGTCCACTAAAAAGGAAGTCTTCCGCTAGCTGTAGTCCCCAATGGGAAACTTATAGCAATTTCTTGTATGTCCTTCCAGATGCATGTATGGGTAGATAAACCTACTAACAGCCAGCCATTTGAGTGGTCCACTTTCAAAGCCCATCCTCAGACCCATGTCCTCATAACTCCTGAACCTTGGGGCTTTCCAGCTGTGGCTGAAGTCATCACAGAACAAAGACGAGCTGTCCCTGCTGTACACTGGCTGAATTCCTGACCCACAGAAACCCTGAGAGATAATAAAAGTTGTTTGTTCTTTTAAGCCACTAAAAATTTTTTTAAAACAGTAAACTAGTAGGAACATACGAACATATCCTATGCCCTCTCTATGGTATACAATGGTCTTAACCAATTTCCCACAGGGTGTCTCCAGTTCTATTTGTGCCAATGAATTGTGACATAGCCCACAGGCACATGGACATATATGACGTCCATAGGATACACATATGCCAGGAAGACTGCTGAGAAAATGCACGTGCTCCTTTTCAAATGGTGCACAGGCAGCCTGCCCTTCAGAGAAGTGTGTATCACAAACATCTCTGTCATGAGTGGAGAACAGTTTGCCTGGCATCCCCCCATTTGGGTGTTGACCCTAACTCTTTTGTCCCTAGGATCCAGGTTCCACCAGTATTGATGGCGTTCACTAGTTCACTAAAAAGCTCTTCTGAGAGCAGATGTGGTGGCACTTGCCTGTAGTCCCTGCTCCTCAGGAGGGTGACACAGGAGGATAACTTGAGCCTAGAAGTTCTAGGTTACCCTGGGCAGCATAATGAGACCTCTTCTCAAAGGAAAAAAGGAAAGAAAAATGTTCTCTTCTGGAGTTAATGCCATCAAACCAATGTATTTCCATGATTCATTTTCTTTCTTTCTTTATTTTGGGGGGGGTGGGCTACCAAGGATTGAACTCAGGTCCTTGCACTTGCGCAGCAGGCGGTGAAACCACTGAGCTAAATCCCAGCCCTGTGATTCATTCTCTATTTAGCACAAACAACTTCTAATTTTTTCCACTTAAATTTTCATTTTAATGAAAACTTCAGCTACTTAGGTCATGTCCCTAAAATTTAAAAAAATGTTCCAGGGCTGGGGATTTAGCTCAGTCGTTTTGCCGCCTGCTGTGCAAGTGCAAGGACCTGAGTTCAATCCCCGGTACCAAAAAAAAAAATGTTCTGCCTGGGCATGGTGGCACACACCTATATACCCAGCACTTTGGAGGCTGGAGCAGGAGGCTCACTGAGTGTTGGAAACCAGCCTGGGCTATATAGGGAGTTCAAGGCCAGACTGAACTACATAGATCCTGTCTCAAAAACTAAAATAATAAATAAAAGTTACTATATAGAAGAGTAACATCATTGATAAGATGTACGTATGAAGTTAGGATACATTTTGGGTTTTTTGTTGCTGTAGTAACCAAATGGCATATAGTTAAGCTAAAGTATTTGAATGATTACATTTTTTCATGATCATTCTTTTTATCCCACCTGTACAGAACTATGTATGGTGAATATATATATATATATATATATATATATATAGTTTTTAACCATTTTATTGTATTTTTTTGTGGTGCTGGGGATTAAACTTAGGGCCTTAGCACATACTAGAGAAGTGCTCTACCACTAAGCTACATCCAGCTATATTTTAACCATTTGAAACATCTGTAGGTATACAGTTCAATGACATTAAAAGCACATTACAAATAAAATATTTAAAAAGCACATTATAGGTTTTTGCGCAACCACCACCACAATCCATCTCCAGAAATTAAAAAATTTTCCCCAACAGAAACGCTATATCCATTAAACACTTAACTCCCTATTTCTCTCTCTCTTTCTCTCTCTCTCTCTCTCTCTCTCTCTCTCTCTCTCTCTCTTTTGGGCCTTGCTATGTAGTTCAGGCTGCCCTTGAACTATGTAGCACAGGCTGGCCTCAAACTGGTGGCAATTCTGCCTCAGACTCCTGAGTACTAGGATTATAGATGTGCACCACCACACTTGGCTTAACTCCCCATTTTCCATAAAAAATTTATAATAATTTGTAGATCAGTTTTGACTATATACAATCTTAGCAAGGATCGAACTTGGGACCTTGTGCTTGTGAGGCAGGCGGTGGCACCACTGAGCTAAATCGCTAGCTTTTTATTTTAGACAGGGTCTTAATATGCAGTCCAGGCTGGCCTCGAACTTCTGATCCTCTGCCTCAGCTTCCCAAGTGCTAGGATTGCAGTATGAGCCACCATGCCCATCTCTTCTGCTATTTTAAGCCTTCTTATTTCTATTAAGTTCCAGTTGTCCGGTGGTCAATTTTTTTTTCTTTTTGACATCAAAATTTAGTAGCTAGCTATCAAGAAGTCAACCAGGGCCGGGGATTTAGCTCAGTGGTCCTGACGCCTGCCTTGCAACCCTGCAAGCACAAGGTCCTGAGTTCAATCCCCGGTACAAAAAAAAAAAAAGAAGTCAACCAATAACAAATTCTGGAAGGGCTGTGGGGAAAAAGGAACTCTTCTCCACTGTTAGTGGAAGTGTAGACTGGTGCAACCACTGTGGAATCAGTGTGGAGATTTCTCAAAGAACTAAAACTAGAGGTTCCATTTGACACAGCTGTACCTCTTCTTGGTATTTTCCTGAAAGAATTAAAAGCATCAGACCACAGTGATATATGCCCACCATGTTTACAGCAGCAGTTTGTAATAGCTAAATCTTGGAAACAGTCCAAATGCCCATCAATGGATGAGTGGATAAAGATGTGTTTTTTTATACAATGAAGTTCCTCTGCCATAAAGAAAGGATGAACTTCAGACATTTATAGCTAAATGGATGCACCTTGAAACCATACTCTTAAGTGAAATAAACTGGACACACATGTGCAAATACCACATTGTTTCTCTGGTATGAGAAACTGAAAGCGGAAATAAGGACTGAGATGTATAATGGATGTTGGGAAATGGGAGAAAAGTGTTCAAATGGAAGGGGAACAGGGAGAAGGGAGGGAGAAAGGAAGGAAGGGAGAAGAAAAAAAGTGAAAATAGAAGGAAAAAATAGAAACAGTTTTTGTACATAGGGAGCAGAGGGGGCTTGGGGGGAAGGGATAAAATAAAATTTATTTTAAAAAAAAGAAAGCTGGAAGGAATTTAAAAAAAAATTAGTAGCTAAAAAACCTTGAGGCTTATGGCAGTTTTAGCAAACATTTACCATGTGTAGTTTTAGCTGTCATCAAATTTTGTTTTGTTCACTCCTACCAGTAGCAATCATGAATTGGATACAAAGCCGATGGCCTGGGCCTGGATATATTTCTCAGCTTAATTCATAAAAAAACGGTGAGCGGTTCTGTGAAACAGTCAGGAGAGAAAACCATGCAGAGATGAACAGA